CTGTCCTGCCAGTACCTATGGAACAAACATCAGCTTTTTACTATAAATCAAGATTAAATTGTTTTAATTTTACGATATCAGAAATAGGCAATGACAAGACATCCTGTTACTTCTGGCATGAAGGTCTAGGACATAGAGGAGCAGTCGAAATTGGTTCATGTGTCCTTTCATTTCTTGAAGAAATCGCTAATACACATCCTCAATCTGACATAATTCTTTATTCCGATAACTGCGGTGGTTAGCAAAAAAACAGATTTGTCCTTGCAATGTATTACTACGCAATTAAGAAGTTTCAGTTAAATTCCATAACACACAAGTATCTCATCCGAGGTCATACACAGAACGAAGGTGATGTAGTCCACAGTATCATCAAAAAAGCTATGAAAAGAGCTAAAAAGTCAGGACCGATATACGTTCCCGATCAAATTGTGTCGATTATTAGAAACGCAAAGAAAAAAGGAAACCCTCTTCTAGTAAAAGAATTAAGTTACAATGACTTCATCGATTTGAAAACGCTTGCTAACGACATCGGCTTCAACTGCCAGAAAAATATACACGGCGAACAAATAAAATTGTCAGATATTAAAATAATTCGATTTGAGAAGGAAAGTGATAGGTTCTTTTACAAAACCAGCTACAAACAGGTGGATTGGAATCAGGCCTATGCTATAACCGTAAAAAGTAGACGAGTGACAAGGACAGATGATAATGTAGATGTTAGAAAAAGACCTGCATACATTTCAAAAATTCCGATCTCTGAAAATAAGAAAAGGGACCTAGAAAATTTATTATCAAGTAATATAATTCCCAAATATTACGAACCTTTTTTTAATAGCTTGTTTTGAATTGTGAATGTTTTTGTTAATTTTTTTAAAGGTGTACAAAAAACAAATGTTACTTTTTAGTAATTCTGAGTAGTGTTTTTGTTATTTTTTATCATTTTGAGTAGTTTGTATTATTTACTGACAATAAAATTATATACCTAAACCTTTCTTTAAATTTTTTTAATGTTACTATTGTAGACCAACTCAAACCGATTCAGAAACTATTTGAAAAACATTGGAAGAACAATGACGCAACTGGGAGGCTGCAAAGTTCTGAGATCTGTGTAGACTCTAAAAGTTTTATTATCAAAACACTAAGATTGTCATTTAAAATTAGACTAAATTTACCATTAAAAAAAGTAATTTCAGTTTCAAAAATATTCACTTAAACTTTCACTTTGTTTACTTTGCTGTAAAAATATTTTTAAAAGTAAATTTTCCAGCATTTTAGTAATCTGTACTTGCGTCGATGTTGCTCTGGAGAAGCGATATTATGTTTTTCTAATCTTAAACCTTCCAGTTAGTCATTGCATTTTTATTTTATCTCACATTGAAATATGTAATAAAAATTTACGACTTCTCATCTTCACTGCCGATAAGAATTGCTGTGTAAAAATGTAAAATATTTACATTGCACTAATTTGACTTATAAATAAACCTTTTAAGAACTGAAAAAAAGTTATAGGACAAATAAATAAATAACAAATCAATGTATGATAGAAAATAATAGGATTTTGGTTTTAAATTCAGCAAAATATATTTATATGAAACGAAAACCTCGAATTTCTTGGAAAAAATATTCCCATGAGATTTCTTGCATAATCACTTTCACAAAATACCGCAAAATAATGTTCAAGAGGTTATTAGAATTAGTTATTACAAACATTTTTATTATTGTTATTTTGAATGTGTACAAACATGTTTTTAACTGAATACTATTGATCAAACCCATACAAAATTTGTGATAAACAGATATTATTAAGTTTTTATTGCACATATCCAAAAGGTATTACTTGGTTTTTGCAGATTTCGAGGGTGACTTTATGTATGCCTTGTAGTTGGCATACAAGTGTCATTGTAGTTACTTTAAAACGGACCTCTTTAAACTCATTGGCATTATAATCTGTTTTATAAAATAAAGAACCAAGATTGCTTTTGTCAATTTTGGAGATCATTCCAGACTAACTTTTCTTCTTTTTTATTCTTTGTAAAGTTTCCTCCAATTTTTTAACTGAGATCTTTTAAAAGTCTTCTATTGACATTTCCCTTACATTGTAAGGGTTTCCTACTTTAATAACCACTCTTTTGTACCATCTTCAAAATTGTAAAGTTAATGCAGTTCAGAAGACATTTATAGTAGAGGCTTGAAACACCATCACAAGGTGTAGGAAGAATCGACTGCAAATGAAAATAAGCTACCAACACATATTATACAACAACATCTATACCACATATAAACACTCACATTGAAATATGTAATAAAAATTTACGACTTCTCATCTTCACTTCCGATAAGAATTGCTGTGTAAAAATGTAAAATATTTACATTGCACTAATTTGACTTATAAATTAACCTTTTAAAAACTGAAAAAAAATTATAGGACAAATAAATAAATAACAAATCAATGTATGATAGAAAATAATAGGATTTTGTTTTTAAATTCAGCAAAATATGTTTATATGAGACGAAAACCTCGAATTTCTTATGAAAAATATTCCCATGAGATTTCTTGCATAATCACTTTCACAAAATACCGAAAAATAATGTTCAAGAGGTCGCTTATACAAAAAGTGTTCCTAATTTATTAAACAGTTTTGTATAAATCCCTTTTTAGGTTGTGATAAGGGCCTCAAACAACTAAAAACAGTGTTTTTAAATTAAATAAGCCCAAACTAAATTATCAGAAACTGATAGAACAAGGTTTGGTGAAGTCAAAATAATTGTGTTTTTGAGCCTTCAATCATCATTTTTTGTTTTTTTTTTCAGTTTTAAATTGTTTATAAGTTGAAAACGATCAACTTTAGAGAAAAATTACAATTAACCTTTTTTATTCAGATTGATCAAAAAAATTATAGAATATTAAAAACAATTGTTCACAAAAAAAAATAAAAATATTAAAGCTATTTCACTAACGCAAAAACTAGTTCGTCTCTGTCTCGCTACGATAATGCACTGAAGAGGACTGCATGTTTTTAACAATGCCGGATATTATTGTTTTGTTCGTAGATCGATGTCACTAAATGATTACGTCAGGTCCACGACATTATGAATTATCATTAATATACACAGATTTTTCCAAGGCATTTGATCGTCTAGATCACCAAATACGTTTGGGCAAATTAATTAATGTAGGCTTTCATATCAGGTTTGTTGAATGGATGAAAAACTCTACATCTGGGAGAAGTCAAAGAGTCAAGATAGGTTGTCATCTATCTGACAGTATCTATTTTGGAATACTGTTCAGTTATTTGGTCACCATATTTGCACAACAATATTGATACCATAGAAAGAGTCCAGCATAAATTTTTGAGATATTGTGCTTACCACATCCACACTGCTATTGAAAATCATGATTATTCCCATATTGAAAAAAAAAAGATCATACATGGATTTATTGATTGTGTAAACCTGTTAAGCCAGATTAACTTTAATGTTCCCCATCAAGCTCTATGGTACCACAATGTTTTCAATATTTCTTTCCACAGAACAACAACCTATTGATATTTTCAATATAACTCAGTTAAAAAGATCTCTTACTTTGTGATATGTATATTGGGATTGTTGAATTTTGTTTTTGTTATACTTTGTTTGTTTTTTTAGTGTGTAAGATTTTTAGTCTTATTTTTTTTTAAACTTTTTAATATTGATTTTATATCATATGTAATTTCAAGTTTTGAATCCTAACTGTGATATTATATATTGTAATTTAAACTGTTAATGGGGTTATCCCATGTATTAAATAAATAATAAATAAAAATTCATTAAATAAGATGGATCCTTGAGAAAACATTGGATTTTAACATTGAAACCCATACCTATTAGTACTATCCACTACCACTCAAAGCATGAGTTTGGTATACTAGAAAAACTTATCCGATTAACTAGAATGACAATGTCTAACTTAAAAGTAGGTTTTGGGATACAGGGAGAAAATTCTCAATCCTTTGAGATAAAGGATGGACTTAGATAAGTCACACGCACACGTCTTAGAATTGGAAATAGTAGTCAAACAGGTCAGTCAATCCATCAACAAAAGCAAACCCAAGTACATGTTAGTTACTAAGGATTCTATAGTAAATGAGGAACAGGAAAGCCTTTGGAGGTCATATCTTTGAATGTGTTGACAGTTTCACATACCTTGTCTCACAAGTGGCTACTACCAACAAAACAAGCTAAGAAATTAAAAGATGAATTAACCTTACAAATAGAGCATATTATGGTATCCAAAAACAATTCCACTCAAGTCTGTGGCTTGCCACTATAGGGCAGAAACATGGACCCTAACACAGAAGGATGAAAGACTTTCGGGAATATTTATTGGCTACCAACTATTTAATGAACAAGATGTCGTAACTTTCATTAAATCACAGCAACTTAGATGGGCTTGACACATAATATGAATGCCTGGCAATATGATTGCTAAACAACTAACTACAAGAACACCTACTTATAGAAAGAATAAGCAGAGGCTAACCACAAATTAGGTGACTAGATGAAGTTGAGATTAAATTAGGGATACTAAAGAGCAGTCAGATCAAGTAAATAAAAGCTGCAACGAAGTCTTAAGAAGTGCAACTACTGGGAGAAAATTATTCAACTTGATCAAGGTATGAAAAATTGAATATCTGGGCCATATCCTGAGAGGAAAAAAATATGCAATCCCTGAAATAATTATCCCAGGAAAGATTGAGGGCAAGAGGGGAGTAGGTCTCAAATAAATGTCATGGCTATAAAATATAAAGAACTGGAAAGGCAGAAATAACACTGGCGAGCTTTTGCATGCCGCAAATGATAGATGTCTGGCCTTAAGACTGTTTGAAGATATATACCTGTAAGAGCTATAATAATAAATAGGTATAACTTTTTCATTTAGAGTTCCTCTACTGAAGTATTTTATCAGCATTGGCATAAATTAAAACGTTCATGTATTGGACATATAGCTGTAATATACTTACTTAACTGATTTTGTAAACTGACTGTATGGTGGTAAATTCGGGATGAACAAAATTATAATCACCACAATAGACAATTCCAAAAGTCTATTAACTAAAAATTTCAAAATTCCTTGAATGTAACCCATTTTTAAAGGATAAAGATACCAAATTGTTATTATTATATAAGCATTACATTCAAATAACTGGAATAAAAAACTAATAAATCACTTTCTATTTGGAAAACACCATATTTACAGTTATATTTTGTTTTTGATTTGATTGATTTGTTGATTATTTATATGGATGGATTGACATATACTTGACACTGACACGACACGATATCTCTTTGTTTTCCGTGTACCCTTTAACAGAAAGTCAGAGCCGAAACCTCGAACAACCCTCACCCTCACTGTACTCTTGGGGTGAGCTGTTAGTGTGAGTCAAATTCAAGCATTATTTAATTTCATATTATAAAAACTTATTTGGTTTTAAATTTATAATTCATTATGTCGATAATTATTTTTCATTTATCCCAATAAGTAAACCATTTTTGCTTTTGGATAGAGCGTTTATTTACAAAGATTTATAATTGTAATATAATTAATTTATTTACCTATTCTTGAATAAGTATATATATTTTTTTTTAAATTTAGGGACAGCTAGCAGAAACAAATAATTTTTTAAATTTAGGAACAGCTAGCAGAAACAAATGCAGCAGTTTAAAAAAAAATTAAACTCAAAGCTTTTTTGTTCCTCTTTTTTTCTAATATTATTAATTGTTTCAACTAAATGGATTTTATCTGAAATTATGTATTAATAATATGTGGAGTCTCATTTAAATTTTAAAATGCCGGCGCTTCTTCCATCAATATTTTGAAAATCACATTTTTGTTTATTAAATTTAAATATTAGGTTAAATCCACGGAACACAAAATAAGTCACAGAATGATAGTTTTTCATTGTCGTTGGCACCATGATACTATGAACTAAAGATAAACCCACGCGCACGCGATCAGTCGTGTGACGTCACGTGGCGACAAATGTCACCAGAAATGTTCTGTGTTGTATGGAGTTTTGTCAGATTTATACTTCATCTAATTTAGATAACGACTTACGTCATTATCTACGTCAGAGATCGAAGTTGACATAGTTGCCAAAGTATAAAAAAATCCTGACTCCATTTTAAATAAAATAGATTACATAATTATTGCAAAAGTATTACCATCTCTTTACAACGACTATTTAAATTCTTACGTGACATTTTTGAAATAAAACACACTAATTTTGTTCTAAAAAGAACAGATTTTATTAAATAGTTAAAAATATAAAACAAGAGATATTCACTTTAAAATTCAAAATAAGTACAAAAAGTGTCAACACCGCAACTGTCAAATAAGTGTTACCAATTTATGCCAAAATTTTACGTTCGTTCGATTACAGTTACAGTGTATTCCGAACAAATGTTCTTGATAAAAACGCTTTATAATGCATGTATACAAATTAAATGAAACATATTATTGTGTATTTCTTTAAGTTAACATTAATAGAAATTTTTAAATATTATTTTTACGTGTATATAATGAAATATGTCTAGTGGCTGTAATGCCAGTGTACTCGGTAAAGTGATTCTAAAAAAGAACACACCTACACCCTAAATATTTTGTGTTGGTATCATGTGACGTCACAGGCTATGACGCCGATGACGTGCATCGGTATATAAATTAGATGAAGTGCTTCATCTAATTTAGATAACGACTTACGTCATTATCTACGTCAGAGATCGAAGTTGACATAGTTGCCAAAGTATAAAAAAATCCTGACTCCATTTTAAATAAAATAGATTACATAATTATTGCAAAAGTATTACCATCTCTTTACAACGACTATTTAAATTCTTACGTGACATTTTTGAAATAAAACACACTAATTTTGTTCTAAAAAGAACAGATTTTATTAAATAGTTAAAAATATAAAACAAGAGATATTCACTTTAAAATTCAAAATAAGTACAAAAAGTGTCAACACCGCAACTGTCAAATAAGTGTTACCAATTTATGCCAAAATTTTACGTTCGTTCGATTACAGTTACAGTGTATTCCGAACAAATGTTCTTGATAAAAACGCTTTATAATGCATGTATACAAATTAAATGAAACATATTATTGTGTATTTCTTTAAGTTAACATTAATAGAAATTTTTAAATATTATTTTTACGTGTATATAATGAAATATGTCTAGTGGCTGTAATGCCAGTGTACTCGGTAAAGTGATTCTAAAAAAGAACACACCTACACCCTAAATATTTTGTGTTGGTATCATGTGACGTCACAGGCTATGACGCCGATGACGTGCATCGGTATATAAATTAGATGAAGTGTATATATATATATATATATATATATATATATATATATATATATATATATATATATATATATATATATATATATATATATATATATATATACTTTTCAATATCAAGCAGAGATATTACCTATTGCCTTTTTATCACTTTTAGTAGAGAAATCGTAATGAGACTTATAAAATCTATTATCCTCTTGTATTTACCTTCTCTGATAGTTTGTCAATGATTAAAGCAGCTCACGTGGTTCGCTGTTCCTCTCAGGAAGTTATGGGAAATCTCATTATATCTCATATAGTCGACCCAAATATGCTCTGAAACTGAAGTTCCTTCAATATCTACCGCACAAACTATGTATTCTACCACATTTACTATTTCATTCAAATGCTTCTTCAGTCAATAATGCCACAGAATAAGAAACAATCAGTATGCCCACTTTCAGATGCCGCCTTTGAAGTTTTTCAGCACGCTATCGCCGTGCTTTAAACGGAAACGGACTCGAATTGAGAAATTTGTGACAAGTTACTGTAATTTAAATTTTTAGAGATTAATAATTTAGTACATTTGAAATAATTTAATCTATTCTTCAAATTAAAGTACCAATAAAATAGTGCATGTTATGTCTATACAGCACTGGCTCCGTTTAAAACATGGCTGATTCCGTCTGCGCGAACGAAATGCGCGTACTTATTTTTTTAAGCAGAGTGGACATTCTGATTGTTTATCATTCAGTGATAATGCACTATAAAGGTCGATTCAGACACATCAGTCACGTCTCGTCACAGTCCTGGCGCCGAACCGAACAATCCGTCATACAAAATATTCTTTAATAGAAATATGGCGCCGGCATTCACATTCATCAGTTTCGCGACGAACAGTTTCCCAGCTGTCAGATAGTTGATAGTTCTGTGACCAAACAGGACCGGTTCGGCGCCGAGACTATGACGGGAGTGATGTGTCTGAATCGACCTTAAGTGTTTCTTTTAAAACACACATTTCTTGGTTCTTTGAACTATTGCAATATTTACCTTTTCTATAGTTAGCTAGAGAAGTATTTTTGACTGTATCACTGCGTGTGTATTTTCCAACGTTTGAATATTTTGAGATCTACTTCTTCTTATGAGTCAGAGTATGAGTCTTATGAGTACTTATGAGGTCGAGTAAGGAGAAGAAAATGTAAAATACTTACTGGATATTTATATTCTGGGATCATTTCATTTCATAAGTTCCGAAAGACAATTTTTTTTTTTTTTAATAATTAACATCCGTGTTTGCCAGAAATTTTTATATTATCCATCCTAATACATGTTTTTAAATATATATGTTTGCTTTTTATAGGTAAAAGAATAAAAGTAATATTTCTTTTTATTTAAAAACTAATCAAATATCCATAACTAAAACAATAATCAAATAAAAAATATTTTGTCACAGAATCACTAATAAGTTACCATAGGTAAGAAGGTTAGGTAGAATGCGATCTTACTCTTCATAAAATATGTCACGTATTTTAGCGCCACCTCTCGGCCTGGAAGTATACCATAATATGGCCTTCACATAATTGGTCTGTGGCTTCCACATGATAGGTGCAAAATTTTAAACGTTCTTGTTGTTGATTGGATAGTAGCTCCTACATGATAGGTGTGAAATTTTAAACCTTCTTGATGTTGATTGGATAGTATGCTCAAGGTGAGTGAGCGGTAAATTTGAAAGACTTACCGTACAGCTTGTCACATACGGGGAGCTATGCTATATTATATCATACCCGCTCTCTATAATTATAAATGAGCCTGCATAGACGGAACTAATGGTTCCGTGTATGCAGGCTCACCAATAAAGAGCGGATGATATAATATATAGTATAGTATAGCTTCCCTGCGTGACAAGCTGTACGGTAAGTCTTTCAAATTTACCGCTCACTCACCTTGAGCATACTATCCAATCAACATCAAGAACGTTTATTCCAATAAATATTTTCATGGATTGAACAATCAAGATGAAACACAACAAAATTTTCTTTCTTAATTATTTATTTATATAATGTTACATTTTACAGAGTATACTGTTTAAATTTAGTTTGTAAATTTTGAATTATAAAATGAAGATTTACGTCAATAATTATTATGTTGTATGAGTCTTTGTAAACTCTAGGCGTTCTCCTTTGTTAATTCATTAAGATGGAAAACGTGGGATCAGAAGTCATACCAAATATAAAAAGATTCGAAATAGAAAGAGCTTTAAAAGAGCTGAAAAATAATAAAATTCCAGGACCCAAGGGTATAGTTGCCGAGCTCTTGAAAACAAGTAAGCCACTAACCATCCCTATAATAACAGGTATTTAATAGACGGTTCCATAATAGCAAGATCCCTAAAGACTTGAAAGATAGTCTAGTAACAATATTTCACAAAAAAGGGGATAAATGTGATCTAAAGGATTATAGACATGTAAATTCTTGCTCAGTCTCAGTTGAAAGGTTTTTGAAACAGTCATGTGTGACAGGCTTCTCAGTTTTTTCTATAGTGAGGGACTGTTATGCCATGCACAACATGGGTACCTTAACAGAAATTCTATAGAGACTGTCATTTATGATTTTATAACAAAGATAAATGAGGGTTATGAAAACAAAGATATATCCATGGGCATATTTTTAGATTTATCAAAGGCATTTGATACTTTAAATCACAAAATACTAATGGAAAAGCTTTACAGATATGGTATTAGAGGGCCAGGTTATAATTGGATAAAATCTTCTCTTCTTCTTTTCTAATATAGAAATACTTACGTTTTGGAGTACTGGATTACTAGTATCAATGTTTAATAAATAATTTGTGCCTGGAGACACACTGAAACTACAGCTGGACATGACATTTTGTATGTCCTTTAGTAGAGGCCTTTCTGTCTGGGGTAAATGTATCTCACCCAAAGAGGCTGAAATAAAAAATTTGAGTGAGTGAAAACAATATCAATATTAAAGTTTCAATAATAAAAAAAACCTGTAACTCCACAATGACAACAAAAATATATGTGCAGTACTAACTTAACTTTCAATATCCAAATCTTAATTATATACCTGGCAGATTGATGGATGGCAAAACTCCTGTTTTTAGTCGATTATTAGGACCAAAATCTTCTGCTTTGAAATGAATGGAGAAAACTCTGTTACTTGTGTAGACCTTTTGAGAATCTTTATCCAACAGGTTTTTATCACCCACTAAATGTACCCATTGATTAAAAAGATCCGCGTACTTTTGTGGATCCGGAAATCTATGTTTACTTGTTGTACTTTTCCAACATGTCTGCACACAACAGTTGATGGGAGGCATTTTACCTAAAAATAAAAATCTTAAATCAAATTAAATAAATGTGTATTTTAAACACGTTAGATAAACACTCTCGTTCCATGGATAAATCAATCAATCTACAATATAATCAAAAAATCTTACCACTTAATCAGGTGTATAAAAATATGGAAAAATAGGAATGAATATAAACTATTCTTATGGTCACACATCCCACCAAACAAAAACACCACTTAATCGGGTATAAAAAAATATCGAAAAATACGATTGAAAATAATTTTTTCAACAATCGCAAAAACCAAAATAATCGCAAACAAATACCACGTAAACAGCTACATGCTATAAAGGCTTCATTTTGAATTGGCTTTTTGGACGCCGTAGGTCACAGTGCAGGGCTTGTCAAATGTCATGTTCTATGATGCAGAAATTAACGTTTTGCACGGCCTCATACGGCCTGGAAGTAAACTAAATAGAATAACATTTTTTTTACTTGAGTTCGCGGGGCATGTAAGTTACCGAGTCGGCCATCTCTATTTTTATTCGATTTAATAAATGACAATCGGACATTTTCGTGGAAGACACGAGAGTGCCAGGTTCAGTGGGTGCTGTAATTTTCACATTTTTCCATCTTTTTAAAATACTAGTTTCAAGTTAATTTCAATACATAAGCAAACCAAAAAATAAATTAAGATGCTTTCCAGGGCAGCAATTCTTTCAGGTAAACCTTACGTACATTTAAACAAAAAAGTAATGAGCCTACTGTCAAAAGGTTTATGTAATAGGTTCTAATATTTAATGTGATTTAATTATAGGACAGGCCTCAAAATCCCTAGTAGCAAATTGCTTGAGAGCTACAAGCACTTCGACTGCCAATACTCAAGTAGCCAAAACTGATGAAAAATCCGGCGAAGTGGCTTTTTCCAGACCTGTAAGTACATAACCTTCAAAGTGACCTAAGAATTAAAAATCAACTTTTTAAATATGGTGTTACTTTTGAACAAATAATTATTTGTTTGCTGTTCTGTGCTCTCATTTATCGGCTTTAGCATATACTTCTAACAACTTCTGGATTAAAACTTGTGCTTGTAGATTGTTGAGTTCAAAGGGCTCATTCATTTGGCCTTGTGAACTATTGTACACTGAGTCTACAAATCTTGTGTGTATCCTTTTAAGAAATACCATTTTCAATTTTGGAACTATATAATTTGTTACCTGATCAGGTGATAAAAAGACCTATTTCAGGCAGAGATGTAAAAATGTCCACATAAGTAACAAAGCAGCTTTGAGGGAAATTTTGGAGAAAGTAGTCGAGCAATTGTGGGGAAATTCTCAGAAAAATTTTGGAGAATAACCATGTGAGCAAAATATTGGGTAAGGAAAATTAGACATTTTTCACATTTGGTTTGGGTGAAGATAGCATTATAGAAAGTAGGCAGGAGAAAAAGATTTTAGGAAAAGATTCTCAGTGTCAAGATATTGCAAAGAAGAAAAATAACACAATTTTCCACAATTTTTAATTACTCCTTGGGTAAATGTGGCTTTTATTTGTTAGTTTTATCAAAGTTAGAAGATCTTCAAAAACATCATCCAGACCATACAGGAACATAGTGTGGGATTTATACCCCATAAAAAAACCTGCAACCACTAAAAAGAATGTGATTTCTCTTGTTTGGATTTTAAGGAAATGTTGAATAGTTGAGTTTAGGAACAAGTATGCAGGGTAGTATTTGTATTTTCTTGTATGATTTGCAAGTAGGTTTCACTAGTTCTAAAATTTGTAGTTTCACATGTTGTATACTTAGTTCTTTGTAATTTTTTTTTCTATTATATGGGATTTTTATAATGTGCACTGACATTCTACTATAGTCATTTTCCTCACCTTAGGAATATTTTGATAGAATCTTTGTAGGTAACATTCAACACAAAAATTCTTTCCACACTTTATCATTAGCTGCAATTTAATTTACTCATTTCAGACTTCTTTAAATGAAACAAGAGTAATTGTGAGTCTTATCGCTGTTATCTCTTTGAAAAGGTTGGCATCCGCCTAATTACATTTATCTACACGTTTCTGTCTTGCTAAGTGGTCATACTAAGAGCAATCCACTTTACCAACATGTCCTGCCTAAACATCCATCCAAATCTTCTTTGATCTTCCTCTCATCCTCCTTCAATGACCTTGCAAATAAGTAATTCTTCATATTGGGTGACTAATTTCTTGATTTGGTACATGTCCAAACCAGCTTAACAAATACTCAATACTGTGTATTTGTGATAAAAATATAAAATCTTACACACATCAAATATTTACAAAACCTCAATTAAAATTAAAATTATATTTTAAATATTCCTGAGTTAAATAAAAGGAATTTTTATCAATTTTTTTAAATTTTGTTTTCAAATTTCTTTCAGGCAAATTTCTTAGATTTTCAGGCAGTACATTAAAACATTTTATTGCCCAATACCCTGGTCTATCTTGACATCTTTTCAAATGTCAATATGCTGGTATCATATTCTGTTTGTGCCTAGTATTGTAACCATACTGATCTTCATGCCTTCTATAAAGATTTGTATTCCTCTTCATGAATAGAATTTTTTTTAGAATGAGCTTTGCTGGTACAATAATAATTCTCAATCTTTCATAAACCTGATAGCAGGCTTCTCTAAATCTCAAACCAGCAAGGACCCTCACTGAGTTTCTTTGTAGACCAAATACTCTGTGAGTGTCAGCTGCATGACCCAAGACAAGGATAGAATATGAAAGATGTTAGTAGAATATGGAGTGATACATAGCACATATATAGTCCCCAGTGAGACGCATTTTGAAAGATTTCTCAAAATAAAGAGACTTTTATTTAGTTTTTGCTCAGTTTTAAAAACCATAAAAAAAACCAAATCAAACCATTGCTGTATCACTATAGAACCCTCCAGCACAGGAATACAAAAATCAAAAAAAGTTCCAAAGTAGTTCCAAAAATATTTCTGCCAGGCAATGAAACATCTAGAGAGGTATAACCTTCTATACTTTATAATACAGGGTAAGATCGCCAGAAGAAGAGGCCCAGACCAAAGCAGAACATCCTGGCTCCAAAATTTAAAAGAGTAGTGCCAAGAGACATCCGTTAATCTGTTTTGTTCTGCTGTAAACAGTTAGTAAACAGTTATTATTGTCAATATGATCGCCAACGATAATCGAACAGGGTACTGAAATTAGAAGAAAACGAATGCCTCTTCATTTGATGTCTCACCACTTTGATGGTAACATTAATGCTAAGAAGAAGCAGACAACCTAGCATTGTTGGAGATTTTGGACTGGGCGATAGAAATGAAAGGGTAGACTATCTCGCAGATTTTTCCAAAGAATATAATCTATGTATAATGAATACATTTTTCAAACTACCTAAACGGATAATATGTACATAGAAATCTCCAGCAGATACCCACATGTAATATCGTAAGAAATCAAATTGACTACATAACCATCAGTAAGCTCTTGAAAATGTAGTAAAATCTGTAAATAGTTTTCCTGGGGCCGATGTTCCATCTACAGTCTGTTGTTGGCTGAATTAAAATTAAACCATAAACGGATAAAGCAACAGCGAACTTCTAACAAACTGGATATGGATTTTATTTTAGACAAAATGCAGGTGATTGCAAACAATTTAGAGAGCAATTTTGAGAATAATGAACAACAAGAATCCATCGAGGGTCATTGTCCAGGTAAAAGATTAAATTTATGAAATTAACTATATACCAACGGATTGACTGCTATCGACTTTTGTGAAGATACCTAAAAAAACAAATGCGAAAAGATGTAGTGACTACCAAACCATCAGCTTGATGAGCCATGTTTTAAAAATATTTCTTTCAAATATAATATAATATAAATATAAAAAATAGAAGAACAACTTAATGACCAGAGCACATTTAGTATTCAGGTGATGGTACAGAGATGTTGTCAATCCAGTTGATGGATTGACAACAAGGCCTGATGGAGTAAAACATACTGAAAGGATAGTCATTCTCCAGCAGGTAGGTATTAATGAGAAAGACATACATATCATTAAAAATCCTTACTGAAATCAATGTACACACATTAAGATTGTTCAGGATGTTCCTTAAGAGATTCAAATACAAAGAAAAGTAAGACAGGGTTTCTTAAAGGGATGTTGAAATATGAATATGTTCTAGTTTTGCCATTGTTTTATTTGTTAATTTAGGTATTATCCTATAAAACTATTGTCTCTGATTACCACCAAATCTTGATATACTGCCTGCTATTATAGTTATTAAATAATATTAATATATCATGTGTATATCTTACATAGTTAAACTTTTCCTCTCTACAATCTATTTTAAGATTGTACTGTTGCCTCTGTATGTATTAATATATTATATTTTATTACCTTCCACTTTTATACACCTAGGAATGTTTCTAGTAGGTAAACAAATTGTACTTTTTTAACTAAAAGGGTTAATTTTTTTAATTTAGATTTTTGTTAAATGTTTGAGATATTAAATTTTAAAATTTGTAATTAGGTACGACAGGAACCAGGAAAAGTACGCATGGGATTCATTCCTGACGAATGGTTTCAATTTTTCTACAAAAAAACTGGTGTCACAGGACCTTACACTTTCGCAGTCACCTTGTCTACGTACCTGGTTAGCAAAGAAATTTATGTTTTGGAACATGAATATTACAGTGGACTTTCCCTTTTGATTATGTGGGCATATGGTATCAAGACCCTTGGTCCAAAATTGGCTGCATATCTTGATAAGGAAATTGAGGTAAGAATAAAAATTTTCAAACTCTATATGAATGGACACATTCTGTAGCTAAATAATTGAATTGCTTGTTTTCTTTTACTTTGTTACTTTATTGCGTACCTTTAATTTCATTGGTTCGTTGGTACAAATTACCAAGTTGTGGTGTATCATTAAGTTAGGCTTATTTGTATAAGTTTAAGAGAAGAATATATCTTTATAGACATGTTCAAATGATTTTTCTATTACATAATTGGAAAATTCAACCAATTCTAAAAATAAATGATTGTTACTGAACGGCTTACCAACTACCACTTTCTTTATGGAACTTCTACAAATGTTTAAAAACAAGCAGTCAATAGATTTTATTTTTGAAATTATATCTCTTTGCGAATAAACCACAATTATGAGTCAAATAATTTATGCTTTAATTAGTCATAACTAAATTTAATTACAATATATTTCAATACCTTGCCAAATGGCCTGGTATTTACATACTTATCCATAAGATAGAACATATCAAAAGCGTCGTCTTCTCTAAGTTAAAAGTACTTTGAGTTACATACAATCTGTACCAGCGGTTCTCTAACTTTTTTGCTGGCGGAACGCTATAAAAAAAAATAATTTTTTAACGGAACACTAAAGCTCTAAACTAAAAGCAAAATCAATTATACTTCTATTGTTCATTAATAATCATACAAAAAAGGTAGATATCAGCTGAGAGAAAAATTTATCGATCTTCCGAAGATGAAATTATAAGTATAATAAGTTCCTTAAAACATAATAAGGCACCTGGTATTGATCCATTAATAGCTGAATTATTAAAAATTGGAGGACCAACGCTAATAAAACAAATACATGGTTTAATCACAAATATGGGATGTTAAATCCAGGAAGAATGGAAATTGGGCCTTCTACATCTCATTCACTAGAAAGGGAACAATCAAAAATGCTCCAACTATACAGGAATTATATTATTAAACATATATAATGGTTTTCTTCTGTCCTATATAACACACTGACTGCCTTCTCGTGTAGAAAAGATTGGTGACTACCAGTGCGAATTTCTGATCTATTAGTGATCACACGGTTCTTGCGAATATTCTCTGCAATTTGTCTTTAAGTATCAATATATGCATAAGAATTCTTAGATGTTACATCTTTAGTATCTTCCTCTACAGAGTAGAAAGCTGGAGCCTTACATAAGATGTCATAAAACGGATAGATTTGAAATGTGCTGCTACCGACGTATGTTATGGATCTCTTATGTACATCACAAAACTAACATAACTAGTATCCAGAGGCTAAAAAAGACAAAGAAATTATTAACAGAATAAAGAAAGAAAATTGGCTTACTTCGGCCACATTATGCAAAATAATAAATACCGACTTCTACAGTTGATTCTACAAGGCAATATTGAGGGCAAGAGAGATCCTGGACACAGACGTATATCCTGACTGGCCAATCTTAGGAAATGGACTGGTCTACCGTGGATCTACTGAATATATTTCGAGCTGCTGCGAATATAATAAGATTGGTCAATGCGGTTGCCAATACCACTAGAAGTGATCACATACACATGCTGAGGCAAGGATTGGAAAAGAGTTACGAATACAATATCGACATAAACAGTCTCTTTATTGATTTCAAACAAGCTTTTGACAATATAAACAGGAAAAAAACTATGTTAAAGCCTGGTACTTATGGGTATATCCAAAAACTAGTCATATTGGTGCAGTTTACTCTCACTGACAAAGCAGCTGTAGCTGTGTATACAAAATATGAAGACTGGCAACTTTGACATCAATAACGATTTAAGACGAAAGGATGACCTCTGAGAGTCTCTCAGACGCCCACGAGAATGTTATGATATTTAGTTGTAATGAAACAGTATTAGAGAAGACTTTCAAAGATCTCGAAAAAGCTAAGCGAGATGTAGGTTTGAAGATAAATCAAAATAAAAACCAAATATACATTTAGAGAAACTTATTGGAAATAGGTGTCAACAGTTTTGAAAAGAGAGCAGATTTCAGTACTTAGTATCGCTAGTAACCGAAAGTAATGATGTAAGTGCAGAAATAAAGAATTTTACAAAACACTTATAAGATCCAGTGTGCCCTATAGTTGCGAAACATGGACCCTGCTGAAGAAAACGAAGATGCCCTGAAAAGTTGAAAGGAAAGTGCTCAAGATTTTATCCTATCCGGGAGCAGTGTAAGGCTACAGAATCTGCTTGAATTTTGAGCTTGATAAGTTTATTAAATACGCCAATACAGTAAAATTTGTTAAATCTCGTAGAATTCGTTAGCTTGGCCACTTGCTCCGAATGAATAGTTAAAGAAATAAAAAAAAGTACCACCAAATGAGGGAGTTCGAGTATTTTGAGAAAAGTCGTCAGTGGCAGAAGGGAATGGAATGCAATTGTTGAACAGGTAAAAATCCAGAGAGATTTATAACGCTAGAGGAAAAAGAAGAAACGATGATTTTAAGCAAACATAAGTTGAATTACTATGTAGAAGCCTTTTTCGGAATTGTTAGATATTCCTTTCATTTTTTAGAATTCCTTTAGACTAATATTACCTTGTTTTGAACAGCATTTTTTTCCAACTCTTTCAGGATAAATTTTTGATATTTCTTGCATTTGTCGGAAGTCATTCAGACTAATATTATCTTATTTTGAAAAGCAGTTAATACAAGTTAATGTTTTTTTTATTATATGTTTTAGGCATATGAAAACGCATGGAATGAAAGTCGTGTAAACCAAAAACAAACTTTGACTGAGCAAATATCAGACGAAGAAAAAGCCCAGAAAAGCATGGAAGGCCAAACTTTATTGGTTGAAGCTAAACGTGAAAATGTAGCTCTTCAATTAGAGGCCAATTACAGAGAACGTCTAATCAGTGCATACTCTGAAGTCAAAAAACGTTTGGACTACCAAGTAGAGAAACAAAACATCGAACGCAGAATTACCCAGAAGAATCTTGTTGATTATGTTGTAGCTAAAGTAAGATCCTCAATTACAGCTGATCAAGAAAAACAAAATATTAACAAGTGTATCAGCGATTTAGCAGGATTAGCTAAAGCATAAGGTTACATTTAATAAATGTTTAAGTATGTATGTACAGTCTATAAGTAAGCCCAAAGTGTAGACGAACATTTTTAATTTCTTTTCTTTTTATTCTTACACAGTACATTATACGTTGAAATATAATAAATTATTATAAGACGATGTTGTTTTAATTATTATTACTTAACAATTTTTTAAATCAATCAAATTGACCATGTAGTTGTGGACGCAAGACATTACAGCGATGTTATGAATGTACGTACCAGACGTGGAGCAAATATTGACTCCGATCACTACCTGGTCCAGGCTAAACTAAGGACACGAATCTCTAACGCAAAAAGGTAAAGGAAGCAAAAAAGATAAATTCGAGGTTGATAGACTACGAAACCCTGAGATAGTTAGAAAATTTGAACATAAACTTAAAGAAAAACTAGAAGACCAAATGAGTAGTACTGTTAAAAATATAGATAATTACTGGAATGAGTGCGAAAATATCCTGAAAGAAGTAGCCACAACAGTTGTAGGAAAGAAGAAAGGAAGGGGACAGAATGGTATGATGCGGAATGCGCACAGTCAACTCAAAAAAGAGTCAGGCTTATGGGAAACTCAAAAACAGAAGGACAAGACAAAATCAAGAGGAGTACAAACAGATGAGACAAGCAGAGAAAAATATACCAAAACAAAAGAAAAACGACATTTAGAAAACCAGATACAGGAACTAGAAAGGCTCAATTCACAAAGCGAAGCGCGAAAATTTTATAAAAATGTGAACCACAACAGAAAAGAATTTAAACCTAGAATAACCATAATAAAACGTAAGGAAGCCGAAATTATCAATGAGCCGGATCAAAGAGTGGAGCGATGGGCGGAGAATTTTGCTGAGAAATTAAATATTGACCACCAAGAAGTGACTGACATAAATGACCAGAGTGGAGACGTAAACGATGAGAGGGAGAAAAAAATGTACCAACAAATCCCCTGGTGAAGATGGTATACACCCTGAGCTGTTTAAGTATGGAGCAAACGCCCTAAAAAAATACATAATAAAACTTGTTGCATTCATTTGGAGAGAGACAGTTGGATTCACAAGAAAGAGGATCCACTAATATGTGACAACTATCGAGGCATTACCCTCCTAAATACGGCTTACAAAGTACTGGCTTATATACTTCATGATCTTTTACTAGTATATACTGAAGAAAAAATAGGCAAATACCAATGTGGATTTCGAAAAGAAAGGTCAACAATTGATCAGATTTTACTTCTCAGATAAACCTTAGAAAAGACATATGAATATGGAATTGATACCCATCACCTCCTCATAGATTTTAAAAGTGCTTATGACAGTGTAGACAGAATACCATGGCAGAACTAGATATTCCGTCGCATCTAATAACATTGGTAAAGGCAACTCTTTCGAAAGTTGAGTGCAAAGTCAAAGTCTTGTCAAACACATACTGGATTACGCCAGGGAGACAGTCTATCATGTCTATTGTTTAACATCGCGCTAGAAAGAGCTATAGAGAAATCGGGCATAACAACCAGAGGTACGATCATCAATAGAACTGTACAGATATTGGCCTACGCAGATGACATTGACATAGTAAAGATCGATTCAGACACATCAGCACCGTCACAGTCTCTGCGCCGAACCGGTCCTGTTTGGTCACAGAACTATTAATTATCTGACAGCTGGAAAACTGTTCGTCGCCTGATGAATGTGAATGCCGGCGCCATATTTCTATTAAAGAATATTTTGTATGACGGATTGTTCGGTTCGGCGCCAGGACTGTGACGAGACTTGACTGATGTGTCTGAATCGACCTTTACACGGACAAAACGAGACCTGATATACAGGCTTTTAAAACATCAGAAAAAGCCGCGAAGACAATGGGACTGTAGGTTAACGTATCCAAAACAAAATACATGAAGGTCACACATAGCGGCACCACAAGATCTGGTGACAGAAGCACACGCATTCGAAGGGGTGTCGGAGTTTATATATCTTATAATACAACTAAATAACAGCAACCTAGTAAGCGTAGAAATTAAAAGAAGAATATACGTGGCGAACAGAGCTTACTTTGGACTAAAGCAGTTAGTAATATCACATAATTAGCTGAAAAACCAAGATACTAATATATGAAACTCTTATTAAACCTGTCCTGACATACGCGTCAGACATGGACTATAATAAAAAGCGACGAAGAACTGTTAGGCCGCTTTGAAAGAAGAATACAAATACTTAGACACATATACGGAGGAGTACAAGAAAGCGGGATATGGCGCAGGCGCTACAATTTTGAGTTGTATCAATGCTATAAAAAATGCAACATTGTCCGGTATATTAAAATTTATAGACTAAGGTGGCTAGGACACCTTGAAAGAATGGATACTGGAGACCCCCAAAGACAGATATTCTATCAAGAGCCAGTAGGAACCAGGATGAGAGGCAGGCCAAGATCTAGATTCAAAACTCAAGTCGAAGATGACTTGAGGAATCTAGGATTCAGAAATTGGAAAGCCAGGGCGAAAGATAGGAAGGAATGGGGACTAATTCTTGAACAGGCCAAGACCCACCCAGGGTTGTAGAGCCAAAGATGATGATAAACAATTTTTTAAGTTTTACTAGTCTACAAATGTAATTTACATAAGACAATTGTTTATTTTTAACGGTGCTGGCTAAACATAACTTTGGAGCAGCAGATATTACAGTAAACATGGTACAATGAACACTTCCTTCACAGTAAAATCGTCAGAATAATTGCCTCTATAATTGTATCCCTACGCACTTCGTTCGAATCTCGCAAATTCAAAACAAAAGTTCGCGGAAACACTGAAGTACCGGATTAAGCTGAACGGGGAGATTATACATTGTCAGATCCCTGGATCGAATAACGTCATCCCCTGCGTTTAAAATACTATTCTAGATGCTGCCAAAATGAAAAACACAACACAGAATATCAACAAAGATCCACTATGAGTCCAAACTGTAGACAAAATCTCAAATCGTATGAATGGCAAATGCACCAAATTGCCGCGACAAACACCCGGCATATTCACACAAACTTCATGCCAGAAAAAACGCGCTCCCATAACACAGACAGCCACTACCCAGACAAATTCCCTCAAACGAACTCACCTCGGCCATAAAGTCGATAATTAACCTCATGTTTATGATCTTTTTTAACGTCTTACCTGAAAAAACTCTTACTAACATCTCTGTAACGAGATCTTTCAATAAATCCCCAAAAGTCCCCTTAAATAACTATTTCAGAGCCGATTCAATTTACGCAAGGACAGGGGGAGATTGGTTTTCTATGATTTCCCAATCTAATTGCATAACGATACCTGGAACTAGCCACAGTCAACCTCCACGCGTTTTTTACTAAAGAAACTCTAAACAATTCTCAAAGTAATCGCTCCGTTTTTGGATGCAAGTGGCATTTTTATCAACAGGCCTCCTCAAATGGTCCTCGACGAAGTTGCTCACTGAACATCGACACGATCGACGATAAGCGCCGATCAAACTCCTGCCTCGACACCTACGACGGTTTTAAGTCATTAACAAAAAATCGTTCCAAACATATACAAAAATTCTATACCTTGAAGAGGCACGTAGCCTGAAGCAAGGCTTCAGGCAACTGAAACAACTCCTATCCTTCTTTCACAGCTTTTCCCTTTTCAGGAGTGTCAAGTCCTCTGCCACACAGTCCTTCCATCTTCTCGGTTATTTTTTCTACCTCTCCTTCCATCAACTTCTAACAGTTCTCTCCTTCGTCCCACATAGTTTTCATCCACTCCTTATCACGATCCTCCACCCTAAAACCCGCATATCTACACACCCCTACAAACACAAACCACATTTTCACCAAGACACACTCAACCATCACCCATACGCTCTCGCACCACACTACAACAAACAACACAAAACACAACAATTAACACTCCTCACCAAAAATTAGAGTATCCAGGAAATCCCCTCAGACATCCGTCAGCAAAGACCATTCTATCGACTTATCAAAGACAACAATCTAATCCCAGATTTCGACTCAATAAAAGTCTTCCCAACCCAAAAGACAGCTTAGGTAGGAACCACCAATCTTCTAGACCTCAAAGATTTCACGGCTGAACTTCGACAAATCACCGGAGAGAGTGATATGTCTATAAATTCAGGTTTTAAATCCAAAAGCCCAGCTAATTCGGAACTTTCATTTAGTCATTGCCGCCGTCGACAAAAAACTATCTCAAAAAATCATCGAGGATAATTTATCCGAAAACAAATTCCAATTCACCAAAATAGTTCGTATAATTGCCCGCTTTACAAATCAACCCACCTCTTTCATTAGAGTTTTTACAAACTCTGAAACTAAATTCGCTGATGTACTCTCGAATGGTATTAAGATCGACGGAGAATGATACTGTTCGAAATGCTGCAAAAGCGGACACCTCAGTAACGAATGCCTCGAAAAATCAATTATCTGTCCATACTGTGGACAACAACACAGGTCTATTGCATGTCCCACGGTAGAAGTTCCCAAAACTATATTGGAGGCTCCATCCAAATCCATCACAAATCATAAACATACAAACACCAAAAAAGAAACAAACCAAAAACAATGGGCGAGATTGGTTTTCTTTGGTTTCCCAATCTCATTGCACAAAGACACCTGATCTTAGGTATAGGACACATCCACAGCTATCCTCCACGCGTTTAAACCGAACAAAACAAAAAGGCCAACAATCTGAAAAGGGCCGTTTTTCCAACAGAACTTGTACTTAGTTGCGGGCTTGGTCCAACCGGCACCTAAAGGCAGGAAATCCTTCTGACACTATTGTTTTACAACCACCACTTCGTTCCAGAGAGCGGCAATATGCAGATTTACGTTTACCCAATAAAAAACCCCACCCTTGAACAGGCGCCAAAGCCTAACTTCGGCTCTTTCCCTAATCAAGTCGTTCCTGATCCTGTCCCTTCTGCTCTTACCCAAAATCACCACACTCTTCTATATCTTTTCTTTCAGTCCCCTTTCAATTACAAAGTACCCCGCTCATTCGCGTCCAGTTAAACCAACCTGCATGTATCCTGTGGACAATTTCTCGATGTAGTGCCACATTTTCCATTATGTATGTGCCAAGGTATTTAAATGCTTCTTGTCGTTCTACTCCTTTACTCCTAGCGATTATATACACCCAACCATTCCTCTTCCTCCCAACCACATAAACTTCGTTTTCAACCTGCTAACCTTAAGTCCACCCTCTTAAATACCCCTTCTTCAACACCCCGACTTCTCCTCCAACATTTCTTTGCTCTCCTCTACCAACACGATATCATCCGCAAATAGCATTGACCTAGGCTTCCCTTCCTTATTTTTTTGTCAGTACATCCACAGCAAGATTAAACAGGTAGGGATTTAGTAAGGAGCCTTAATGCAAACCAACCATCAGTGGAAAACAGGACTAGGTCATCTCTATGTCAAATATATATCTATGTGATAACCTAGTCGCTGGCGCTCATTCCACAGCAATATGCGATGCCCTAACGTTTGGGCAGAATCTTAAAAGTGGTATAGATAACACTGAATCTTTCTTCTGGAATATCAGTTATCTCGACTTTTGTCGTTCCTTATCTTAGACGCAATTTTTTTATTATTTCGTCATCAATAATATTAAATAAAACAAGGTTTATTTTGTATTCCCTACCAAATTCAAAATTTGCTCCCTTAGATACTCATATACAGCTGATATCTGGTATTCTAGAAAAAACCTTCGGTGATAACCCAGTCGCAGGCTCTCGTTCCACAGTGATATTCGAGGACTAAATGTTTCGGTAGAAACCTACTACTATTGTAGATGACACTGAATCTTTCTGCTGGAACATCAGTTATTTCGGCTCTTTGTGTAGAGTCTTTTTCGAGAAAAATAAAATCTTCTAAACATTTTAGCAATTTCAGAAAGTTATGGAGTCTTAAGTACGTGAATTTCTTTTTTTTGTAATTTCTTAGTTTTACTTTTATTTTGCCTCTTTGATATATCTTTTGTGGTGTCATTCGTTGTGTTTTAAACGCGTAGTTAAGTTGGATCTAATATAAGAAAGTTAATTTATCAGGGAGTTAGCAATTTCAAAACATTTGTCCTTCGTTTTTTTATAAAGGCCTTTAATTTCACTTAGTGTTATGTCGCAGAACATTCTTTATAATGCTAATAAAGTTGCGTGTTGGTATTGAAGTGTAATATTTGTCTTTTTAGTTGACAAAGACGTTGTTGACTTTTAATTTTCTGAAAACGTAAAGATTTTATTTTTTGTTGAAAAAATTAATTTTAGCTTAGTAGTTTTACATCTCGGTAAGTAATGGTTTTTTAACTTCGCCTAACAGATCGTTGAGTAGATTTAATACCTCAATACTCTTGTTGCCGGTCCTCATCCCGGATAAAGGAGGAGGGATTCTTGGGCGAGAATAGTCCTTTATCCAAGCTAAAAAACCTTGTCTTAAGGTTTTCGGTACAGACTATTTATTACATTTTTATAATTTGACACAGTCCGATCAACAATGCTGCTAAAATATTTGATCAGATGTTACTCTTAATGATGTAGATAAGTATGAGATAAGTACATAGATACCTTCATATTAATAATCAACAAAGCAGCAGAAGATCATACTGGAAAAACAAATAGCCTAAAATATCATAAACATATACCACGGTCGTCTAAAAAACTAATGACACTATGGTAGAATATAAAAGACGTCGGGCAGAAGCTAGATATATAAATAGTTATACGCCAGCAAGTACAGTGTGGCAAAATGTAAAAAATATTCGTATATTTGGAAAAAATGTTCAAATAAAATAAAAAAGATAACAAAATTATAAACGACTAAAATGAAATTGCGGAGCTATTTGCCAGTGAAGTTAATCAAATTCAAGGAAAGTTGAATCAAAGTCAAGGAAGGATAACTATTCACTGGACTTTGAGATTAAGAAACGAAGTTGGAGTACTACTCTCACGAGTATCTACCGATTACAATGCAAGAACTTAGAGATGCCCTGATGTCAACTAAAAATTCCTCCAGGTCCAGACGGTATATCACTAATTTTTTTATTAAACCTAATAGAAAGTGGAATGTCTTGGCTGTTAATGTTATACAATATACAATTTTATTTGGACAAATCAGGTCTTTCCATCTGCATGGTCAGACAGCATAAGAAATCCTCTGCAAAAAAGTAGATTTATACCGTTCTATATTACTCATTAATGTATCATATACAGTTCTAGAAAAAAACTATAAACAAAAGATTTTTGTGATATTTAGAACAAGAAAAACATTTATTTACTCAGCAAAGTGGCTTTCGTAAAAATGGATAATGCGTAGACAACTTACTAGATTTAGAGTCACATATACACGAAGGTTTTGCAACTAATCAAGAGACCATCGTAGTATTTTTCGATATCACCAAGGCACACGGTTAGTTCAGAAATGTTCCTCCACCCAAACCATCGACGGTACAAATGAACCGTCCTCTGTTCTCAGTAGCAATAATCAAAACTTCTAATTCCCGGTATCAATCACCGTCCTTCATCATATCGCTATTTTTTTTAATACATCGTATTGTGAATTGACAAGCAACAATTTCATGGTTTTAGCATCTAAGTAGAAAATAAATATAAAAAATAATTCGTGAATTATGTCAGACATGACCATAGAAGGAGCAGGTGAGTAATATTGAAAAATTACACACCTAATTTGATTTTAATTTTATTAAGGCAATATTTTATACATAAAAATAGTCAAATAATCGTTTATTAAGAAACACAAAATAAAAACGTTAAAAGTTCATGGAATTATTAAAAGAATGATTTCTCCTGTTTGAGTCTTGCATTTTTCCAATTTGTTCTAGATGAGAGCTAATCTGCGCTGTACTCCTATCGATCCATTGTAAAGAATTCATATGCGCATTTAATATGCGACTGATTTGGCTTAGCTGAAACACAAAAAATAATGCTGTAATACGAACATCATTTGTAAAGCTGAAAATTAGAGGAAGGTTTATTAAAACTTATAACTATACTATCCCAGACGCATATGAATTATAATAAGACAATATGAAACACAATTTTGATTTGATAATATGTGGTTTTGCCAATTAATCAACAATATATAATTTTTTTCTGAAAATTATATTATTAAGTGTGTGTTGAAGAAATAATTTAAAATTTTAAAACATAAGTATTCCTCAACGAACTGTGAGAAATCAAATATCACAATTTTATTTTGAGCACTTTTTAGAATTTGCTTCTCTAAACAAATCAATCGATCTTCATTGATACTAATCACGTAGATTCTTTACCCATGAATTCTGCCTTCGACCAACAGATCTTCCTCGAATCTTTCCCTGTATTATGAGTTTCAAAATTTCATATTTTGGTCCCCCCATCACGTGGCCTAGGTATCCCAGTTTTCTGGTTTGTATAGTGGCGATTTCCCAGATGTCCCAGAAACGACATCAAGATCATAATTGGAGATCTTAATGCAAAAATAGGGAAAGAAAATATATATAGTCCATACATCGGAAAATGCAGCGCTCAAGACGTCACCAACGACAATGGAAATAGAATAATAGGATTTGCAGCATCCAAGGGCATGGTCGTTGGAAGTACCTACTTCCCCCATAAGAATATCCATAAAGTAACATGGACGTCGCCTGATGGTACAACCAAAAATCAAATAGATCACATCCTAATAGAAACCAGGCACTTCTCTAATCTAATGGATGTACGTACTTATCGTGGAGCTAATATAGATTCAGACCACTTCTTAGTAGGCGCAAAAATAAGAGCAAGAATCTCAAATGCAAAAAAAGAAAAGGGTAAGAAAAGTACTCGCTACAATTTAAAACTCTTGAAAGAGCCCCGTGCACTAGAAAGGTATCAAAATTACCTTGAACATGAAAGCACAACAGATGAGAATTTAACAGCTAGCGAGCAATGGGATATATGTAGAAGAACAATTAAGGAAGCGGCAAACAACGTCCTAGGACCAGAAGAATCCACTCCACGCAACAGTTGGTTCGACGATGAATGTGAAGATATCACTAAAAGAAAAAATTATGCATATAAACTTATGCAACAAAGAAGAACACGGGATAAAGAGCAAATGTACAAAAATCTTAGGAAGGAGGAAAAACGCATACATCGAAGGAAAAAGCGGACCTTCGAAAACCAGATTATGCAAGAGCTTCAATCACTAAAGGGGCAAAATGAAACTAGAAAGTTCTATAATATCCTAAATAAGACAAGAAAAGAATTTAAACCACGGCTGACGATGTGTAGAGACAAAAATGGACATATATAGTCAGTACCGCTGACGCAGTACAAAGCAGATGGGTTGAGCACTTCAAAGAACTACTTGGTACCGAAGTGGAAAATGATGCGTCACCCCAAAGACCAAGAAATAACACTCACGTAGAACCTCCTTCAATATTTGAAGTGAAAGACGCAATCACACGACTCAAAAATAGCAAGTCCCCAGGAGTGGATTGTATCCCCGCAGAGCTCATCAAACATGGAGGTAACAGCATTATGCACCAAATTCACAACATATTAGTCAAAGTCTGGGAAGAAGAACAAATGCCAGAGGAATGGTGCACTGGAATCATATGTCCACTGCACAAAAAGAGAGATTTGTTGGAATGTAAAAATTATAGGGGTATAACTCTTCTGAATACAATGTACAAAATATTCTCCAACACCCTGTACAGCCGTTTAAGTACGTACGTGGAAGAAATCCTTGGTGAGCATCAAAGCGGTTTTAGGCCAGGTAGGTCAACAATTGACCAGATTTTTGTGCTACGTCAAATCTTAGAAAAAACCAATGAATTTAATATTGACACGTTCCATCTCTTTGTGGACTTTAAGTCAGCGTATGATAGCGTCCTAAGAGGTAAATTATACGAAACCATGAATGAACTTAACATTCCCCATAAATTAATAAGGCTCGTAAAAACAACTATGAGTAAAGTGATCTGCAGAGTGCAAATACAAGGCCATATGTCACAAGCGTTTGAAACATATGCAGGGTTACGGCAGGGAGACGCGCTGGCGTGCCTTCTCTTTAATATAGCGTTAGAAAAGACTATAAGAGATGCCGAGTTACACAATAGGGGAACAATCTTTAATAAATCAACGCAGATTATGGCTTACGCTGACGATCTGGATTTGATCGCACGTACTACACGAGGACTTAAAGAGATGACTTCCACCTTCTTGACAGCCGCACAAAATATGGGCCTTAAAATAAACGAGGAAAAAACCAAAATGTTAGCATCTATTCCAAATAACAGAGATAGAGCTAGAAACGCCGAACAAAACTTCAGTATAGACCAATATAATTTTGAGGTAGTAAATAAGTTTACATATATGGGTTCTCTCATAACAAACAATAATGACACATCTGAAGAAGTTAAACGGAGGGTACTGCTAGCAAACAAATGTTATTTTGGACTAAGCAAGCAGCTAAAAAACAGAAATTTAAGCCAGAAAACCAAACTAATAACTAATAATATATCGAACTCTCATCCTACCAGTGCTGACATATGGGTCAGAAACATGGACCATCTCCAAAACAGACGCAAATCTTCTGCTCGTCTTCGAAAGGAAGATACTAAGAAGAATAATGGGCGCATTCTGTGAGAATGGTATTTGGAGAAGGCGATATAATTTCGAATTGTACGAGAAGTATAAAAAAATAGTAAATGGTAGAGATGTAATATCCTTCATAAAAATAGGTAGGCTTAGATGGGCTGGACATGTGTCAAGAGCAAATGAAAATTACCCACCCAGACGAACTCTATTATCGCTCCCAGTGGAAAATAGGAGTAGAGGCAGACCACGACTGAGATGGAGGGACGGTGTGGACGAGGACGCAAGGAAAATCGGCGCGGCAAATTGGCAACAGTTGGCGATGAACAGAAACGACTGGCGAAATAGACTGGGGAAGGTCAAGGCTCAACTAGAGCTGTAGCACCACTGATGATGATGATGATGATAGTGTTGATTTCATGACGGTGAACGTTTATTGCGAAGGTGAGCTAATTTAAATTATTTACTACAATATAATTTGACGAGCAAACCCAGCAAACGAATCAAAGAACCTCTTTTTCATTATTACATAGTTTATATTGTTAAGTCTTAATATATGGTAAACACATGATCTGTTTACATGTTGTTTTTAAGGTTAGGTAAATAATATGGTTCAGGTGGGAACTAGGAAGTGTTCTTATTTACCCCATCCAAATAATACGTTCGGGGTAAATGGAAACACATGGTTGGGTTAAAAGAAAACATCTTTCCTTTCACCCCAAACAATTTGTTAAGCAACCTATGTTAAGAAGTGCGCGGCTATATTCATCAGAAGACGACTTACAAAAAGCAGTGGCTGACGTTTCAACCAATAATTTAACATATCGGCAAGCTTCTGCTCTTTACGGAATACCAATTTCTAACATCAATAGAATAAAAGGTCGTAAAATTGCCCAAGGAAAACTAGGTGGTGGAAGAAATCCTATTCTGACACCTGAAGTGGAACATGATATTGCTCAATGTCTCATGGAACGGTCGAAATTGGCTATCCTTGTTCAAAAGATTAATTGCTTCAATTATTGCAGAGCTATGTGTTACAAAATCAAATAAAAACGAGCTTTAAGGGTGAAAAACCTGGACACGATTGGTATATTGGGTTTATGTCCTGCCGTTCTAGGCTAACCTTAAAGAAAGCTAAATATCTCCAAAAGTCAAGAATGTTAGCAAGAAACCCAGAAGTAGTTTATGACTTATTTGATAAACTAGAGGAAGTAGTTTCAACTTACAATATCCTACCACCATTTACATTTAATGCTGATGAATCTGGATTTAGTTCGGATCCCTCAAAAGTCTGTGGCATAGGCATCAGAGGAAATACCTTGAGTCGCGTTGACGGGGGTGCAGGTCGAGAAAACACCACAGTGTTGGCATGTATGGCAGCAGTTGGCACAATACTTCCACCTCTGATTATATTTAAAGGAGCTGCTGTCCAGGCTTGTTGGATCATCACCCGCTGCTTACCCTAGTACAGTGTTCGCAAGAGCGAGGAAATGGACAGATGGAAGAACCACAGTTCTTTTATTGGTTGCAAACTTGTTTTATACCCCATGTCTGCATAAAACGTTGTGAGCTGGGACTACCGGATGCAACCGCTGTACTTCTATATGATGGTTACAGCAGCCACCCACACGAGTCTACTCATAATAGAACTTGCTATGGAGGTTAATATTCAAATTATCAAATTTCCTAGCCATCTGACAGACAAAACTCAAGCTCGTGACAAATTTGTATTTGGTCCAGTAAAAAAAGCATGGGACCGAAAGTTGGTTAAGTTTGGTAAGGCCAATATTGGAGTTGGAACGGGGTGTTTGCAAAAGCGTGTTTTTGTAGAACTCTTGGGCAGAAGCTATGACAAAACCAAATATTGAAGCCGGTTTCATCACCACATGAATTTGTCCAGTAAATCAAAGGCGTTTACCAGAAAGTTTGTTTGATCCAATAGCGCTTCTAGCTCATTAGAAAAGAAAACGGAAATGTGATGTTGGCTCTGTTATCGAACTGGCTCCAGAAATGCAAGAAACTGGAAATTCAAATTCATTTGTTGGTTTTGTTCCGGAAACAGTAGGTTATACCTCGTAGTAATTACGGAAGGGGTGGCTGAAGCTAAGAATAGGAAAATAAAACGACCCAAAACAGTTGAGAAATTAAAAACTAACAAAATAAGTTAAAGAAAAAATCTAGAGGTTCATCCGATGATAATTTCAGTGACACACTGTCTCTTCATGATGAATCCGATGATTCTAAGTTTGTCAGTTCAGACACCCAACAAAGTTCAGATAATGATTCAAGAAAGTTGCATTTTTCAAAAGAGAATACGAAAGCCGAAGCCGAAAGTCTTGAGCGCTCGGACGAAACAGAGATGAACACGCCACTTGCAAAACTGCGTGAAAAAATACAAGTCAAAGTCGGAGACTTTATAATTGTGTGGTTTATTTACAATATCGACACTAAAAGACAAATCCAGAAAAATTTTGTTGCTGAAATAGTGGATTTGGATATTAATAAGTCGGCAGATTTTTTTAGAAAATCCAGTAAAATGACTGAAACCTGCATATTTCCAAGCAAATCATTCATTTTGGCCAAATATGAAAGTTGGACATTGGAATCTCGACTTATCACGAATGGTGATAGCGTCACTGAGTATATTTTTGAGGAGATAATTGATGTAAAATTATCACATTCATAAGCGTTTTTTATGTATAGTAAATTTTCAATTTTTATATTTCTATATCTTAGCAACTAAGCTCTTTAAAGAGTTAAGCATCTATTTCAACTTCATCAAATAACGAAAGCTCACCTTTTATATGTAATAAAACTGTCTTATTAAACCTGTGAAGTTATTTACGCGAAATTATATTTTTATTAAATGCAAACTATTCAAGAATGATATCATAGTATACTCAAAAATGTGGTTTTTACTTACTGGATTTGTCGCTTCTTCCTCTTTGTTGGCTTCGTTTATGTGTTCAATAACCTCTTTCAAATCATCAGACATCTGCTTTAATTGTGAATCGACTATTTCCGAAAATTGGTACCTGAAAAGTATTTAAAAATGTTAAAATTAGTATTTACTTAGTTTGAAAAAACAATTTACTGAAAAACAATTTGTTGGGATTAAGCCACAATCTGCAGGAGCTAATCAATAGAGTTGAGATGGAATGCACAAATTGGGAACTGTCGATAAATATCGATTAAACTAAATACATGGTGACCAGTAAAGTGGATATCGGCGCAACCCAACTGATATTAAACCAACAACCGCTGCAGAGAGTTCAGACTGTTCAGAGATTCAAATACCTTGGATGTTGGATTACCCAAAATCTAGATCCATCCTTCGAAATTCGATGTAGAATTGAACAGGCAAGAAACTCATTTAGCCTAGCAGAACCAGAAACGAAGAAGTTCTTCGAAGAATGGTACATCAACGAACTCTATTAAATATTATTAAGAGGCGTAAACTAGAATATCTTGAACATATAATCAGAGGACCAAGATATGAGTTCCTTCGGCTAATTCTCAACGGTAAAATCGAAGGAAAGAAATAGATAGGACGGAAGAAACTCTCTTGGTTGAGGAATTTGCGGCAGTGGACAGGTTTGACAGCGGACCAATTGCTACACGTAGCGCAAGACCGAGATCAGTATAACAATATTATAAGCATGGTAGTCGCCGACGTTCCATAGGGATATCGCACTCTAAGAAGAGAAGAAGATTGTGGCTTAATCCCATATAAATATAATATATGCGAGACGTGTCACAACAGTTTTAGCGGGTTCAAATATAATAAATAAGTATAAAGACAAAAAACTTACATTTGATTTCTGTCAATATCCGTAACAGGTATCCCCAGCAATTCTTTTTCTATCGGTACAATCAGTTCCTCCAATTCCTTTTGCTGTGCCAGCACGAAGTCTAATTCTTGGTCTAACTGTTGCTGTTGTTGTTTAACTTTTTCGATACTGCTGTTAAGCGTTAAAATTTTCTCTCCATTAGATATAAGTAAAGTATCCCATGCATTTAATTGCTTAGCCTGGTTGATGAAGAATTTTCCTTGTTCTTCTAGATCCATGGTCCATTTGTTGATCGAATCTTCGAGTTGAGAGAATGTTAAGGTGCCTGTTGAAGACAACGATGAGGTGGCAAAGGTCGGTGCTCTATAATGAACATTCATTTATTGTGTATTGGACATTAAAAAAGTACTAAATATTAATAATTAATAGTATGTATAACCATTAACTTAATAGAAAAATATGTAACAAAATAAATTTGCCAAAAAAGTAAAGGAAAAATGCAAGTTACATTATTAAAAATTATAAAAGATGAACAAATCTAGTAGTAGAAGTAGAGTAGGGTTTAATTTTGTGCTACTGAAATGACTGTTTTTGTTAAAATATTTTATTTTTCATCGTAGATCCTTTACTTACGGCAATTCTTTAATATTTTCTTAAAAATATTCATTTTTTTGTTTGACAAATACTTTCATGTGTTTTATTCCTGTTTTTAGAAGTTTTTATACTTAAATTCATCATTTTATTACCAAATAACTATTAAATTAAAAAAGCAACTCTAAAAAATATCAAACTAGTATCAGTGATATTACTTACGATGTTGTACTACTCAAAGCACCAGATGCAGACACTGATGATGTTGTCGAAGTTGTAGTTGACGACAAAAGTGTAGGTGCGGCAGAACTTGTAGAAGAAGCGGTTGTAAGACCAAAAGATAAACCTATACAAATAAAACATGTTAAATTTCTGTAAATAATTATATAATTACTAATAGCTGTACATTTTTTTGAACAATAATTAGTTGTTTTCTTATCATATAAAAATAAATAATGGAAGAGCCACATTTATGTTGTAACGTTATAAACGTTACATGCTTGTTTTTGTTTTTTCTAAAAATAGTCGACGCTCAACTTTTCTATCAACTAAATATTCTCTTAGGGCATTATTATTAAAATTAAATGTTCGATTTCAGTTCTATTCTCATTTATTCTTTATACATCCCTTGTGTTTACACCCCGTATACACTATTTTTCCTACTTGCAACTAGTAGTAAACTTGTTGACAATTTTGCTCGTCATGTCAGTTACCACTTCAAAATAACAGGAAATTTTTTTCTTTATCTCTTTCATACATTTAACACATTGGACGCCAGCCTCATTTTACGCTTTTGTTACCAGATACCAGATGGGTACAGGTGTCAACAATATTTTTTCGGCCTTATGTTCCATTTTTTTTATTAAAAATGTCATCTACTTGCCTTCAGAGATCATAATTATTTTTGTTTTATAAATATATCTGCTTTTGTTTTTGAGTTATTAGTAATTTTCCTGTGATCTGCATGAGGGTCAAGCGGTACCACAACTTAAATTTGAATTGATATACCGCGTGACCCTCATGGAGATCACAGATATTTTCAGCTGAAATGAGTAGGGGAAAGTCGGATAAAATGGCCCCCCTAGGTAAAATGGTCCCCTAAATTATTTCTCATAATTTGAATAAAACCATCGTTTACCTTTCTTTATTTGTTACCTATGTACGAAGTTGTGAAGATGCGCGAGCGTATTAACAAAGAATTAAGCGTCTATATTCTTTGGTATTAAGCTAGTTTTATTATAACTTATAAAAACACACGTGATACTGCTAATTTCGTGCTCGCAAAAATTGTGTTTTTAGGCGTTTTAATTAAAGTAAGTAGAATTTTTTTTAATGGAGTTTAAAAAGATATTTTTTCTGATTATTTCAGATATGTTACAATTTCTCTAATTATCAGAAGTCACTCACGTAAATTAGTTTTTAAATTTGATCCAATTTTGAGATAAAATGGGCCCTCCATGGTGAGGCAAAATGACCCCGGGACCATTTTACCCTTGCTTAGCCTATAGTAATATTTTTTATAACAATCAAATGTAGTTATATTTTCTTTACAAAAATAATGGTTAGAACTTATATTCGGAAGACGACAAGACAGAAATTGGATCCAAATTCTATGAAATTTGCTTTGGAAAATATTTCTAACGGTATGCCTTTTAAAAGAGCTGCTAGGCTTTATAATCTATCCTTGAGTACTTTAAAAAGGAGTGCAAAAAATCAAAATGTATTGGTAAATGAACTAAAAGTAGACTACTTTATTCATAAAGGAGATGTCAGCAAATTATCGTTATTTTTTTAGGCAACAGGTTATTCAAAAATCCTTGGTCTACAACATTTAATATATAAAGTCTAGTTTAGTATAAACTAACTAGTCTAAATTTGGTATACAACTACAACAGTCTACAACTTAATTATTTCGTTTTTTGTTATGTGTAGCCTAAAAAATAGATAGAGGGACCATTTTGCCTCACTTTCCCCTATGTATGTGCTTTTGATGTCATTATGTTTCTCTTGTTTCAGGGAGTGATCATAGGAAACAATTCGTTAATCTAAATAAAGCTATAAACATTTAAAGTTATCTAATATCTAAAATAATTCCGTAAAATGTCTAGAAAATCTAACAGATCAAAACCGTTGACACAGGAAGAACTCGAGAGGTTAATTGAGGAAAGTGATGATAGTCTTGAACCTATAGACGATTCAGATGCAGATCCGGATTTTAAGATTCAACCTAATAGTGATAGTAATGACTCTAGTGGAGGAGACACAAGTAACGATGAATATACTGGTTCAAAATCAAAAATAAGAAGACTTGAAGAACTTGTGCAGGAACCAGGTCCTTCACGAGTTGAAAAGTTTGCACAGAAACCAGGTCCTTCGCGACTTGAACAGTTCGCACAGAAACCAGGTCCTTCAAGAGTTGAACAGTTCACACAGAAACCAGCTCATTCCCGAGTTGAACAGCTCGCAGAGGAGCCAGAATTTGCATAAGATGAAGAACTAGCGGCAGAACCAGTTGCTCATGAACAAGAAGCCTTGACTTTCACCTGGGGGCCTGTTGAGAATGACCCACCATACTTTGAATTCACTCCTGGGGAAAATGTTGGATTCAAAAATGATATCTTGTTGGAACTTTAAGGTTGGCACCCAGCTGCATACTTTCTACACTTCATTTCCAACGTCGTTCTGGATATTATTGTAACAGAGACCAATAAATATGCTGAAAAAGTATTGGGATCCAATCCAAATAGTACCTCTAGACTAAATGCATGGAAAAACACAACTGTGAGTGAAATAAAAACACTACTTGGACTTCTGATATGGATGGGACTTTGTAAGTACAGTAAAATCAATTGGTACTGGTCAACAAACAGACTTTTCCAGAATCAAGTTTGCAAGGTCATGTAGAGAAATAAATTCGAAATTTTAATGAGAATGCTACATTTCGCGGATGACAACGACCGGCAGCCCAATGATCGTTTACATAAAATCTCATCTATTCTCAATATCATAAAAAATTCCTTCCAAAACGCGTATGTTCCTGGGAAACATGTCTGCATTGATGAGAGTAATATACCGTGGAAAGGCCGGCTTCATTTTCGCCAGTACATCCCAAATAAACGACATCGCTATGGGATCAAAGTGATTCAATGGTTGAAGTCACGCGACGACACGGAGCTGCAATCATGAAACCAGAAATCGTGGTAAGCTACAATAAATCAAAAGCGTTTATCGATCTCTCTGACCAGATGAAGGCCTACTCTCCGTGCTTGAGGAGAACTCTCAAATGGTACCGCCGTCTCATTCTGGATTGCATACTAGGCACAACCATGGTAAATGCATTTGTTATGTACAATGCAAACAATCCAAATAATAAGCTTAGTGTGACGAATTTCAGGCATAAGGTTGCTGAAGAACTTCTCTATCCTACCGAAGAAGCACCCCTTACACCAGCCCCACTACCTGCCAGAGAACACAGATTGCAAGCTGTTGAGGGACTTTATCAAAAAGTAAAGAGGAGGTGCACTGGTTGCTATGAACGTCTTAAGCGTGAACGAGATCGTAAATATGCTGCAGCTCACACCAAAAAAGTCATCACCAAATGTTCATCTTGTGACAAATTCTTCTACCTTTCTTGTTTCAATGAAAAACATCCTTAAATTAGGTCACATGCATGAATTGAACGTGCTAAGAAGTGTTTAGTTTTATTATAAGCATTGTATTGTTAGTTTTGTTAGTTCGATTTTCATAGTTTTTTTTTGTAAATTGTATGATTCTTTATTTTGTCCATAATAAAAAACAATTAACTGCAATTATCTTGACTAAATTATTCATATTTTCCTTCCAAAATGATGTAGACCATTGTATGCTTAATACACATGCTATCAGAAAACCAAGTAGACCAAGGTGTAGCCTGGTACCACGGCAACATTTTCTCCAAAAGAAATACATTGAAACGTGATCCCAATACGAGCCACATGTACAGAATTACAACAGTGTCGTATGGCCCCCATGGGGATCACATGTACCCAAGTTCAAATGGCAGTGTGATCCCCATAGGGGTCACATGCACCAGACTATAAGAGACTATGATCCCCATAAGGGTCACGTGGCGACCAATGTGTTAAGGTAGAACTAGCGGACCAACTCGACATCGAGTTTTGATGTAAGTTTTGCTGATATTTAAGAGAGGCGGAGTATAACGAGCCATCGTTTCCGTTGCCTGGTGTAAATGATCCAAAATTCAATTTTTTTAAATTGAAAATCGATACAGTAGTTTTTTTAGGATTTTCAGGAAGATTTACATTAGAAAACGGAAACAATATGATTGTTACACTCCGCCCCTCTTAAATAAAAAACGGAAGTAAAACCGGAAGTAACTTTTTTTTGCATATTTTTGATTGTAAAATGCCACGTTTAAAAAAAAGAAGTCGGTTTGAAAACTCGCGGCCCCGTCCATATGCTCTGGAACACCGTGAAAGAAACCAGAACCTGCGAGAAACTCAACAACAGAATAGAGAAACTCGCGGCTCCAGTTTCCTGTTCAGTTGGCCTTTGCAATGACCATCACCCGTGCTCAAGGACAAAGTCTCAAGAAAGTTGGGATCTATCTTCCGAATCTGGTCTTCTCTCATGGACAACTGTACGTTGCAATGTCTCGATCTCGATCATTTGATGGCGTCAAAGTTTACATCACTCCGAATTCCAAGCAAAGATTCGACGAAGATGGATCCATCTGGACTAAAAACGTCGTATTTGTCGAAATATTCCGTGATATTTAGTGATTTTGAACTTTGATTGACTTTAATTTTTGAACTTAAATGAATTAATAAATATTTTGTACCTACTTGAAATTCGAAGTTGGTTTTTTTGTTTGCAATTTGGTTAGTTTAGTTTAAGGTTAGTTTAGGCTGGGATATCTTACTGGAAGTAAATACTTCCGGTTTCATATTTCTGAATTCAATCAATAAGTATACGAAAAAAGTAGACGCGGGCATATTTTAAAAATACATTGAAAATTAGGACTTAAAATTTTGAAGAATTTTTAAACCGGTTCGAATTTTTTAAATTTGAAATCTTAGGGGGAATCTACTCAACAATCTGTTTAATTATTCAAAAAAAATATTCTCCTATCTATCACCGTTTAGGAGGAGTATTGCGCACAAGAAAAGGGCTTAGCCTTTTAGTATATAAGATTCTCGTTCAGAAACCCATTTTATTAGTCGAATCTTCTCTTGAAAGTTAATAATTGAGTCTTAATATTTTACGAATAATCAATATTATTTTCTATACTTTTTTAACATTTTTTATCATAATGTACTTAGCCTCTAAGCCTAAGCTTTCATTCAAACTTATAAATATTTGTATAAATTTTATTATTTTAATTGTCCTTGCCATTGTTAATTTTTTTGGAAGCAAAGCTTTCTTATCGCGAGCTATGGAAGTGGTGGATAGCACAAGTGTGAAAAAAATAAAACCGACTGTAATGACTGTGGCGACATATAGCACGACCACACAGTACGTGGAATAGTGAACGCAGTCCCATACGTGTTAATACAATAAATAAATACTTTTTCTTCTTCTTCTTCACTGGCTTTACAACTCGGGGTAAGTCTTCGCCGCATTCACTATCGCTTTCCATCCTCTACGATCTTGCGCTTCATTTCTCATTGTTGTACCCCAATTCTAGATAAATCGGCTTCAACATCATCCTTCCATCTTTTTCTCGGTCGGCTTACTGATCTTCTACCATCTGGTCTTTTAAAAAACACTGTGTCATCCTCTGATAGTACCACGTGACCTGCCCATCTTATTCGGTTTGGCTTGATATGTCTAACTATGTTTTCAGTTCCATACAGAGTCACCAATTCAGCATTGCGGCGTCTTCTCCAATCCCCTCCGAATTCATCTCTTTGAGGGCCAAATATTATTCTGAAAACCTTTCTTTCAAATACTAGAAGTTTTTTTATTTCCCGCTGGTTGAGAGTCCATGTTTCACTGCCATATGTAATAATTGGGCGAATAATCGACTTACAGTGTTAATTTAGATTTCCTTTTTAGCAGCTTCGATCTTAATAATGTTGAAAGGGAGTATAATGCTCTATTTCCCGCAGCTATCCTTGCTGAGACCTCTCTTTCTATGTGGTTGTCAGCTGTGATTATCGCACCCAGGTATTTAAACTCCTTTACTACTTCGAAGTTGTGATCATTAATACTGATGTTCTGCCTAGCTCTTGGTCTTGGATTTTTGGTTACTACCATGTATTTGGTCTTTTCTTCATTTATTCGGAGACCCAGAATATCTGTTTTCTCCTCGAACTGTGAAAACACCCTTGTAGAATGCGTGACTGCATCTATATCATCAGCAAAGGCCAGCAACAGTTTTGATCCTTGATCAGCACATCCTCCTGTCAGCTCAGACGATATTTTACTTATTGCATATTCTAAAGCAATATTGAACAGCAATGGTGACAAGGGTAGGAGAGAATTCTCTATCCTACCGACCATAATGTAGCTTCGCCTATTTTAAAAATTTTTAAACTGTTTCTCATTGTGTAGTGTAGTGTAGTGTAATGTACAATTTTATGTTTATTACATTCTATGAATGTTGGATAGGCCAAAATTGACGAAATGCCCCTGAAGATGCTCTAGGAAGCGTAAGTACTTGGGCAAGATTTAATTAATAAACTGTGCTCGATATCTGCTTTTCATTTGATCAAAGTTTAAACATTTTTATATACATAATCACATGCAAATATGAAAGAAAATACCTGAAGCTGAAGTTGTTGCTGCAGTTGTAGCAGTCCCAATTGAAGTTCCAAATGATAAACCTAAAATATATTGCAATTTATTGGTATTTAATTTACAACAGTATATATTTTATAGTAAAAGATACAAAAAATATTGACAAAAATAGCAAGCAGATTTAATACCCCATTTTAAAAATAGATACAATCTTACAGGGTTGATTACAAATTTAACTAACAGAAAATTAAAAAAAAAAACCCGAAAAAATAAAATACAACACTAACTTTAACTACTTTTAACTCTCTTATTTATGTTTGGTTTTCAAAATGACCTCCCAAAACATTTATGCATACTTGAAAGTGGTAATTGAAAAAGTTGCTTATATTACAAAGCATTTGTAAAGAAATATTTTGAAATGCAATTCGCATTCGATTTTTCATATTATCCCGTGTTTTATACACTTGATTTTTAACATAATCCCAAAGAAATGAATTCATTTTATTGAAATCTGGTGAACCTTAGCGGTCCACCCCTTCCGATCCATCTTTCATCAAACTGCTCAAAGTTCACTACATAATAATTTGTTATGGTGCACAAGAGCACTGTCATGTAAAAACCACATTTTTCAGAAATATTAAGTGTCCTGGACAGAATATAGAATTTAAGAACCAGACAATACCAACTTTGGATTGACTAGAATGAAAATTGTGGGACCTATGAAGCAAACCGTTTAAAAATACCTTTACAGTTTCAAGAATATCGACTAATAATAAATAAAAGAATATCGACGAATATAGACATGTTATGAATTCTGATAGCTAACAACAAAATTAGTGTTTGTTTTGCAAAAATTTGTAATTTCACTGTTAATCCTACGCATTTTGTACATAATGGATGATGATAATTATTGATAACTGATAATTTTTTTATTACTATACTGTGTATTTAAATTTATTGTGCTCAATCTTCATCCGTAAATGACAATACCCCCTAAAATAACTAGAAATTACAAAATAAAATACCTGTAACTGAAGTTGTTGCTGTAGTAGTGGCAGTACCAAATGATATACCTAAAATATATTATTAATTAATTAATTTATTAACTAAATGCAGTTACAAAAGTGTTATCAAAGCTACACCTTAAAATCAATATATTTTTATAACATCAAACATTTCAGAAAAATAAACCATAACAAACTTTAATACAGCTATCAAGGGTAGACCAGTATAAAAGGAATCCTTTTCCATTTATTTTAAATGTTTTAACATTTGGCATTCCTTTCCCCAGCAGATAGCTGTAGCTTTCTCCATGGTTGATGTTAGTTGTTGTCCTGAAAACCATCAGGGTCTTCTAACTCTAATGCCACAAATTGGTTGCATTGTTTCTGTAGTGATCCTTTCCCAAGTTAATATGCTCCTTTTCTAACTTGGCTGAACCTTACTGAAGACGACCAATAGTCAGAAATATGTATTTACAGTTGCCTTCCATCTATATACCATTTGGTTTTTAGTTTAGCGAGACATGCCATTAATTTTTACTTTATATATATATATATATATATATATATATATATATATATATATATATATATATATATATATTATAAGGTTCACTCAGACGAGTGGTGGGTTCTTATATCGGTTTCAAGGTGGAGAAATAAAAGACAAAGTTGATAGGCTACTTTATCTATTTTGAAGACGTTTCGCTTTCGTATTCTGAAAGCATCACCAGTTCATCTAAAAAGTACAATATGAGAACCACACAATATATATATATATATATATATATATATATATATATATATATATACATTATATATATATATATATATATATATATATATATATACATTATATATATATATTATATATATTAATATATATATATATATATATATATATTAATATATATATATATATATATATATATATATATATATATATATATATATATATTAATATATATATATATATATATATATATATATATATATATATATATATATATATATATATATATATATATATAAATTAAGGATCACTCAGACAAGTGGTGGGTTTTTTTCATTCAAAATGTTGAGAAAAAAGACAAAGATGATGGCTACTTCATTTATTTATTGAAGAAGTTTCGCTTTCTTAATCAGAAAGCATCAGTTCATCTAAAAAAAAACAATATGAAAAAACCACACACATATATTATAGATTATACATGTATAATAAACCACATGTTCTTTTGCTGTGCTAAGTTTGAACAAATTGTTAACTGCATTTAGTTCAATTATTGTTTATACATCGTAATCGTATAATGTCCATTTAGTTAAGCGTCTTTACACTTTTAATATCACTGACTGCTACATATCTTTTTAAGGTAACACATGTAACAACTTTTCCATGCTGTGTGGTTTTTTTCATATTGTTCTTTTTAGATGAACTGATGATGCTTTCTGATTAGAAAGCAAAACGTCTTCAATAAATAGATGAAGTAGCCACCTACTTTGTCTTTTTCTTCACCTTTTGACTGAAAAACCCACCACTCTTTGAATGATCCTTAATTTATATATATACAATATCATATAGCATTTTTTCAGGGGAGATCGTTTTAGATTGTTACAGCACCAATTGCTACTTTAACATTGTTTCAGGTAACTAGTGTTGATGTACACTAGTCTAGTGGGCCGACATGGTGATGGTTCATATCATTTTTAGAAATAAAAATTTTTTGGTGATTGGAATCGAACTCATGTGCTCTGGCTTAGAAAGCCAGTATTTTAGCTGCTGAGTTACAGCTGCCAAACATATAACCATTATGTAAATAAAATATAACATTATTTACATGGATCACAATCTATGAAGTACAATTATAACGTAATATTACAGAAATAGATATAAAGGCACTGCTATAATCACAATAATCTGATCAATACAATAGATACAATATACCAATATATTATTGAAATATATATTTTAATTTTTGATAACTAATAATAAAATATACTTTAAATTTTTACCTGTAGGTGCTGCTGCAGTAGTGGCTGGGGCAGATCCTAGAAGTGAAAACGTAGTAGTGGCTGGAGCACTAGCTTTTGGAAGCGATAACCCAAATTGAGGAGTTGTTGCAGGTGTACCTAAAAATAATTAAATTATTTTATATATTATCTATATAGTCAAAAATTTTAGCTTAACAAATGTTCAGTACATAGATATCAAATTATATAGAGTTAAAATATTAGATATATATTGGTGATTCTTCTACAGCTGGTGCTGTGCCTCAAGTCCTAATTTCCAGCATTTTCTGTGGAAGCAATCTTCAGTTTTTAAATCTCTTTCCTGGTCTACCTCACTTTCTTCTAGTGGGCGGAGCCCACTTTTTTATCTTTTTTGGCCATCTACTTTCAGGCATTATCTGCAGGTGTCCATACCAGTTTAGTCTTTTTTATTCAATAGTATCTCTATTACATCTAGGTTATTTCCATTTTTCTCGTAATGTCTACATTCCTCACCCTATTAAGTCTAGTGTGTCACCAACATCGTCTCCAATAGTTCACTTCCATTGCCACAATTTTTAATTTGGTTTTTTTTAAATGATTTTCTAAAATTTGGTGACATACATCTAAATACTTTCTATTATTGTTTTATAAATTCTTCTTAAATTTTCTTTTGTTATTTTATTATTCCACAATAGTCCTTGTAGCTGTCTAACAGCTGATCTTGCTTGGCCAATCCTAGAATGTATTACTCTCAGCTTTTGATGTTATTTGGACTCACAAGTATTTATAGGTTTCAGTTGATTTTATAGTTCCCATTTCAATTTGTAGGCTTCCTGATTTGTTCCTGTAACTAACTACTTGGTTTTTTGTATATTAATTATAAGGCCCCACTTGGTGTACTCCTCCTCCAGCTTTCTAAGCAGAAATGCCCATATTGCAGCATTTTCTTCTCCACACTGAGAGCATCTCATTCAGATATATTTTGAAGAGTGTAGGTGTTATGCAGCAGCCTTACTTGAGACCCTTACTAATAGAAATTTCTCTAATTAATTTATTTCCAGTTTTAATGTATACCATCATATTTTTGTGAAGTTGTTGTACTGCTTTTATATATTTTTTTATTTATTCCTTGCTTTTCCATTGCTATCTAGAGCATTGAACATGGTACATTACTGTATGCCTTTGCCAGATTTATAAAGACTACTTGAGTTGAAAGGTTGTGGCAAATCTTTTTTCAATAACATGCTTTAGAGAACATATGCTGTCTATACAGGATCTGCCTGCACGAAAGCCATCTTGTTCTTCTCCATCTGTCATCTTTTTCAATTTTATTTTTAGTATTTTTCCATTGTCTTGAAAGCGAATTTATGACACTTAGTCCCCTGTAGTTTGTACAGTTCTTTCTTACCTCATCATTTTTAGATGTTGTTAATATGTGGTTTTGTCCACCACATTGGCAAATAAATATTAGAATAATATATAAATATATTAGAAAATATGTCTAATTTTCACTCTATAGAGGGCAGTATATTGTATACTGCAAAATATGAATGCCTGACTTTTCTCTCTAAAAGTCTCTCTTTACTCACAGTATAAGACATGCTTTGCTTGATTGGGAACTCATCAGAAAGTGCCAAAACTGAAGAAGACTCAGAGATAGCACATTTTACAGTTATATGCCTTCAAGTTTATTCAGTGTGCTATCTAGTTCTGATATATTTTTATTTACTATCTCACAAAAGTAAATTGTACTGTTAATTCTAAGAAATCACTTGAATTCTCCCAAATACCTTCATTATATAGCTGTAATTGGTGTAATAATTATTACATATTCTTTTTTTATTCATTCTGTCTTCTGGACCTCACTTGTATTGCATTTTTTAATATATAATCAATTTTAATATGTTATGTTTAAAAGTTGCTATGTAATGTAAATATGCTACAAACATTTTTTATGTACTTACTTGTAGTTGATGATCCAAACTGCAAAGTCGAAGGAGTAGCAAAACCAAAGGAGAGGGTTGTTGGGGCTGTAGTGGCTTTTGTAGTTAACCCAAATGAAACAGGCTGACTTGAGGGAGTTGCAAATAATGAAGGTTTACTTTGGTCTTTATTATCTCCTGAACCAAATGTGTTTTGAATTCCAGTAGTTGAAGATACTAAAAAAAAAAACAATGTTTTGTTTTGGATTGTGTTTTAAAATTTTAAAGATCTTACCTATTGGATTTGATGGCAAAGTAAAACCAGAGGCAACGGTTTTTTGAGTTGGTACTGGGGTGGATCCGAACGAGAACGACATGATTAACACTTATTTTTTAACTTATATTTCCGAAATAAACCAACAATATAAAACCAGTAATAAAACTCCAACGTTTTGAAGCAAGGTTATGAAATTTAGTGTAAACTTATTCGGATGTGATCGTAGCTATTCGTTTGTAAAGAGAATATTACAAATGTATCCATAGGCAACACACAATCCAAGACTCAAAAAATAAGATCAGATGAAAATAACTTTCCTTCTTTTTGAACTTACAAAACTATTTTTATGAACTTCTAAAAATATTTTTAATTCTGAATTTGTGTTTTTGTTATCTGATTACTGTCATGGCCGTATGTAGTTTTTAACTTTTTCAAAAGTTAGGCTGACATAACTTTAATAAAAAGTAGGTACCCCCAAAAGTTTTTAGTAGAAAGTAGTTTAACACGTTGTCTGCCGTAGAGGATTTTGTAATACCAAAGAATATAGACGCTTATAAACTATAAGCGTCTATATTCTTTGGTAATACTTTCCGAGACGGTACCACAGTTACATTAAAATTCTCGGTCAAATAGACCGCGCTGGCGTGCAGAGCAATTTTTTTCTCGGTCACATAGACACATCATACGTGACTATGACCACCTAACAAGATTCCCATGATACTATAACAACAAGATGTGCTCACTTGCTGTTCTAATTTTAATTGACTTTGCGCATGTCGTCATAGCGAGACAATGACATGGGACTTGTATGTATCATATTTTAACGATGTAACTGTTAACGGTAAGTATACCTCGATGCCATATCTTGCACTAAGAAGTCATAACTATACTTCATCTAATTTAGATAACGACTTACGTCATTATCTACGTCAGAGCTCGAAGTTGACATAGTTGCCAAAGTATAACAAAATCCTGACTCCATTTTAAATCAAATAATTATTGCAAAAGCATTACCATCTCTTTACAACGACTATTTAAATTCTTACGTGACATTTTTGAAATAAAACACACTAATTTTGTTCTAAAAAGAACAGATTTTATTAGATAGTTAAAAATATAAAACAAGAGATATTCACTTTAAAATTCAAAATAATGAAGTACAAAAAGTGTCAACACCGCAACTGTCAAATAAGTGTTACCAATTTATGCCAAAATTTTACCTTCGTTCGATTAAAGTTACAGTGTGTTCCGAACAAATGTTCTTGATAAAAACGCTTTATAATATATTTATACAAATTAAATGAAACATATTATTGTGTATTTCTTCAAGTTAACATTAATAGAAATTTTAAAATATGATTTCCACGCGTATATAATAAAATATGTCTAGTGGCTGTAATGTCAGTGTACTCGGTAAAGTGATTCTAAAAAAGAACACACCTGCACCCTAAATATTTTGTGTTGGTATCATGTGACGTCACAGGCTATGACGCCGATGACGTGCATCGTTATATAAATTAAATGAAGTGTAGTTACTTTCTGTGAAAACGTGTTTTGAAAATTATTTTGTAAAATTAATTAAAGAAATATATGAATCTACGATTTGATTGTGTGTATTACAAACAAAATAAACATTGCTACAAAACATAAATTAAATATTAAAGGTCGGCAAAATGTAAAGAATTTGACCATAAAGGAAAAACGGGTCAAACTTGAGACTTTATGAATATCATTTAGACATTTATTTTACAATATTCCTGATTTTTCTTTTGCGGTATTGTAATTATCTTTAATATTTTGATTTAGAATTCGTATTTTAAAATACATTTTACATAAAAAAAGTAATTTTACATAAAGCAATGTTTCTAAGTTTTGTGTTTTATTCTAAATTCCGTTGATTAAATAATACGTTAAAAAATAACCATGAAGTCTACTTAAATAAAGAAGTACGCAAAATATTTAATTGTATGATGATGTTTAGGGTTTGGAAGTTCAAAATTAAATTTTCTCTAATTAACCTTTGTAACATTTCGCCTTTCTTCCATGTGGTCTTTATATGTTATATATTATATATTATATATTATATATTATATATTATATATTATATATTATATATTATATATTATATATTATATATTATATATTATATATTATATATTATATATTATATATTATATATTATATATTATATATTATATATTATATATTATATATTATATATTATATATTATATATTATATATTATATATTATATATTATATATTATATTATATATTATATTATACTTCATCTAATTTACATACCGATGCACGTCATTATCTACGTCAGAGATCGAAGTTGACATAGTTGCCAAAGTATAAAAAATCCTGACTCCATTTTAAATAAAATAGGTCACATAATTATTGCAAAAGTATTACCATCTCTTTACAACGACTATTTAAATTCTTACGTGACATGTTTGAAATAAAACGCACTAATTTTGTTCTAAAAAGAACAGATTTTATTAAATAGGTAAAAATATAAAACAAGAGGTATTCACTTTAAAAATTAAAAATAATAAGGTACAAAAAGTGTCAACACCACAACTGTCAAATAAGTGTTGCCAATTTATGCCAAAATTTCACCTTCGTTCGATTACAGTTACAGTGTGTTCCGAACAAATGTTCTTCATAAAAATGCTTTATAATGCATTTATACAAATTAAATGAAGCATATTATTGTGTATTTCTTTAAGTTAACATTAATAGAAATTTTTAAATATTATTTCTACGAGTATATAATAAAATATGTCTAGTGGCTGTAATGCCAGTGTACTCGGCAAAGTGATTCTAAAAAAGAACACACCTACCGTCTAAACATTTCGTGTTGGTATCATGTGACGTCACGGGCTATGACGCCGATGACGTGCATCGGTATGTTAATATAAATTGTATATTATTATATTATATACCATTGAGTAAGATAAACATATACCATTTTTCGAAGTAAAACACTTGCACGTCACGATTTATACAAAGTGACGTCACTTGTATTTAAAATTTCCAGAACATCAACCTTAAAGTTCAAATGTTCCTAGCACAGCTAATAATACGAAACTCATACGGAACTGCTCGATCTTTCATAGGCATCAACATGGTGCATTAATCAGAAAAATGTTATCATCATTACATTGGAAATTTTAGAATTATATTTATTAAATAATCAAGAACATTTCTTATTATTCATAATATAAATTTTATGAAATAACTCTTCAAGTCTAATACATAGTCACAAAAGTCACAAAATAATAATTTTACGCAACAATTGTACGCAACTGATACCGGAATACTTCAAATTGTATTGACAGTTCAGCGGGTGGCAAAAGTGTATAAAGTGTTGCTGCTTTTTAGAGTAAGAATTTTGTTTATGTTTTGATTTCTTACACAATTTGATCATAATATATTATATATCAATAAATTGTATTTATAAATTCAGATTCAATTTAGATTAATAGCTTTAAAAACTAATTATTGTTGTGCATTGTGATTTTGCTACGTCAAAACAAATAAATAGTTTGTAGAAAGCTGATAAGCTTTTATATAAGATAGATTATTTTAAACAAGAAATAATGGCGAGACGTTTTTACTATTACAGCCCTCAAAGAGGTAAGTTTAAAATTTAGAATATATACTTTTGTATTAAAATATTTTCTTATGTATTTTAGTGTGTTGCAGTTAAAACTCAGTGTATTTACTGTTAATATAATAGTTTGACAAAAAGTTGACATTTTAAAAATTCCTCACTTACTAACTATTCTGACGTTTTGGCAACGCTGTGGGGTTCTAACGTTGTATATCTTAAATGACGTTGTATATTTTAAATGACGTGTAAACATTTTTATGTGAAGAATGCTATACACTTACTATAAAAATAAAATGACGTTTCACAAACGTCAACGCCACAGAATAATAAACACTCAGAATGCCTACTCTTGCAATGTTTTAAAGGGAACCAGTGTTGTTTAATGAATATTTATGTCGTTGATTGAATAATCCAAATAGATCCGCAACGCTTATGGAGAGAAACGTGCAACCCAAAAAATTAAAATTTCATCAAGAATCAGCGACTCTAGTGGATATTACGGGAAACAACTAGTTACGAATTTGCGCTCATACGAGAATGATCGTATGAAAGAGGTGCCGTTACCTCCCCTATCGTGCCCTTCCACAACCAATTTATGTCAGTACTTACGAAGTGTAGTGAGTCAGAGAACTGGACCACAGATCACCTACCTCTCTAGATGTTCCACGACAATACTTCAGTTGGATATGAAATTCAGCGCTCCATAAGATTAGTATCGGAACTAATTCAAGCGAGAAATTACGCGGGAAATTCAAATTTTAATTTTGGTGGGAAAATTTAAATAAAGTTTAAAATTTTTAAATATAATTTGGTATATTTGAAAAAAAAATGCATGACATTTTTAATTTCAAATATACACAATACAATTTAGGAAAAATAAAACAAAATGTAATTTATTTATTTATTTAATACTTGTAAAACAACTTTGTAATTTAATATAGAATAAAAATATGCTACTATCACTGAAAATTGTACAATTTTATGGAAAAAGCTTACAAAAAAGTCAGAAAAATAGCAATTTAAAATTTACTGAAATTACATAAATCGTCAATATCACAAAATAAAAAATAATAAAATACACAATGTATTGCAAAATTTAAATAAATTGCATAATAAATCCTTACGAACTAATACATTTTAATACAAGTTTCTGCATGTGATATTCAAATATATATTTATACAAATTGTTTAGTTACTTGTACATAACACTATTCGTTAAGAAACTCTTCTACTGAATAATATGATATTTCAGATAGATAGGATTTTGTTCTTTTACGGAACTCAAGGAAAGAAGTTGCAGATTTAAGTTCATCAATCAGTTATTTGTTCTCTAATATCAAATATTTATTGGACTCACCATACAAATGTAAGCTAGGAATTGCATTTTTATACAATTTATGACTCCATGAAGAAACAAACTTATCTTCAAAGTGTGTGTGGCAGATTCGTTTATTTGATCGATTATTTATAACACTATCCTTCGTAAATTAGGATTATTTATAACACTAAGCCACTTCCTAAATCGTGTAATGTCTTCATCAGGATTTGGAAAGGTACCTATGTCTAATT